GAAGCAAATCCTGCAGGGTATCCTCAGTGGTTGGGGTGGACACTGATCCACACTGATTCCCAAATCCTCCACTTCAAACCTTCCCTTGGACCCTGCTCAGAAATCTCCATTTCAAGTTTATTTGGGATATTTCAAAAACTTAATAAAAATCCTACTCTTCAGTGTCATCCAGCCAAGAACCCCAAACCCTGCACAGACCAGGCTGCAAGCCATGGAAAGTTCTCCTGCCCCAAACCTTGCTAACCATGAACTGTGACCTCAAACCAAACATCTCCTTCCCAAGCTCCAGCCTGACCGGGAGATCAGGGGCTTGAGGACCTTCTCCTTTCATTCCACACCAAATCTCAGGCGGGACCTTGGGTGGTTTCATCACAGAAAAGTTGCAACAAGAGAGAAGAAGACTCAAGACCTTGTGCTCTAAAAAGTGCTCTACAGCATCCAAGAATTTCTGGAGAGTCCTTGGTGTTGTGTGACACCACAAGACCCCATGAAGGAGGAACACAGTGGATTTCTGCCCCTGGAAAGGAATGAGGGGGATTCTCCAGTTATCCAGAGAAATGAGAAGTTCTTTCCTTCTGTCCCAACAGCCCTTGGGTTTTTCTGCTCAGTGCAAGCCTTGGAAGTACCAACTTCCAATTAATTCCACAAGTATGAGTAAGATTAACTCTGTTTTCTCCAGGTGCTACAGCAGGGCCTGGGCACATGACAGACTCTGACACCAATCCAAGCCCTCAGGCTGCTGATTGCTGAGGGAGCCCCAGGAACACCTGCAGGGAGTGGGGCCAGGGTTCAGTCAGGGTTAGAGCCAAAGGAAGCCACACACCCAGCACATTGAATAGTCTGGGGTGGGTTTAGGGTTAGACCCTTTAAAGATCCTTGAGTCCAACCCTTCTGGGATGAGCAGGGGCAGCTTCAGCTTGTCCAGAGCCACTTCCAACCTGACCTGGAAGGTTTCCAGGGATGGGGCATCCACAGCTTCTCTGGGCAGCCTGTGCCAGCATTTTACAGGAGAAACATCCCTCTGTTAAAAACCTGGCAGGAATCAATCACTGCTGGGGGATTTTAACCCTCAACTTTACAGCTGGGGATTTTAACCCTCAACTTTACAGTTCTGCTGCCTGTTGGACTCCAGGAACTGCCATCTCCATGCTGGATCCACACCACAAATTTCCAAACAGCTTCCTACTCAAACCAAGCATCTGTGAAGCCTCTATGGACCAAAAAAACCCCACAGACGTGGTCAATTCCTTGCAAAATCCCAGTTTGGGATGCAGTTTCTCCCGGGCTGTCACTCCTGGAGGTGGGCAGGCCCTCGGAGCCGGCCCTCGGCGCCTCCCGCTCAGCAGGCACACCGCACACACCGTCTGGGAATTGCTCAGGTTGGTTTTTTTTTGCTAAGTTTTTATTTTAATTCAAGGACTTTGCTTCATACAAAATGGAATTGTAGAAACAACTGCAGAATTCAAAGTTTGGCTGATAAATATTACTCAGGCAGCAAACTAGGCAATCACAGAACCTTTTTTTTTTTTCTCAATTTTTTTCTCCCTTATTTTTTTTTGGGTAAAGTTCCACTTGTGTTGCATGGTTGGAACTTTGATCGTTTTTCACACTGTTTTTTAAATATAAAGTTTTGCAACAAACCCCCAAATTTATATCAAATATAATTAAAAATTAACAACTGATGAATACATTGTATCAAAAAAGTACGAAGATAAACATTTTCCATGCACATACTTTTTATAGATATGTATATATGTATATATATTACATGCAAACATTACTTATTCAAAGTACAGCCACTACGAGACTGGTTCTGGATGCAGAAAACTGATCGGTGCAATTCAAGTTTGGCAACTCACTATGAGGATTCTTGGAAAGATGGAGAGACAGCAGAGAGGCTGTAAAAAAATGTCAGGAAAGGGTTATGGATAATTGTGGTCAGGCTTGTCTGTCACTGTCATCGACCCCTACAAGGCGGGTGGAGGATTTGGACAACTTGAGATTCTTCTTCGTGTTCTGCCTATGAATTGGGGTGACCCAAAGCTGTGTTAGTGCAGGGCTGTGGGGTTGGGGATGGAAAATGGGAGAGGAAAAGGGGGAAAAGACAGAATTATTCCGTACAGAAAGACATCTCTGTTGCTTTCCAGTGTGGGTACAGTGTTTGCATGCACGGGCAGAGAGATGGTGTTGTCCCTTCCCCTCAACTTCCTGGAGTAAAATAGGAACGTTCCCTTGGAAAATTTCAAATAAAGTGTTTGTGCCTTCATTTCAGGAAAATGTATAAAACATTTGGTCACAATCGTGCTGAAGCCTGAAACAGGAAAATCCAGCAGCTAAAGCTACAGATGGATGAAGGTCTTGGAGTGGTGGCGGGGTGGGTGTGTGTCCGGACGTGTCATCTGGTTGCATAGCCCTCCGTTTGGGAATGCCAGGAATGCCAGCCGTGACCTCTGGCTACCACACTGCCTTTATTCCGAGTGCACACGAGTACAGAGACAGAGATACAGACAGGAGTTATCCTTTAGCAGAATCCAGGGATGAGATCGGCCAGAGATTGCTACTGAACAGAACGAAATTAAAACAAAACACCGGAGGGAACAAAACCGGGTTGAGTTTCCTCAAGAGAAGAGCTACAGGAGATGTGAAGAACCACCCTAGAGCAGACTGCTCCTGCCTGAGGCTGACAGACTTTGCTGAGAGCATGAGAGACCTCCTGAGCGTTTTGGTGGCATCTGATCCCCTCCAAGCAACCCAGGGACAGAACAGATCACCAGGGCCAGTGGGATTTCCACCCACCCCACACGACCACTGCATCTGGAGAAGTTCCACAGGTCTGGGGCTTGGTAGATCCTCTGAAAAAATTCACCTCTCCAACCCTATCCTCTTTCCTAGCGGCGTCTTTAGGGATGTGCCCAGCACCTCCCACCCTTCCTCCTTTCACCTTTTAACCTCTCCACGTCCTCTGGCTGCCCTGTGCCCCGAACCAGCCCTACAAGGGCTCAGCAGAGCCCTGGGCAGGAGGTCCTGGCCAGGCTTTGCCCCCAGCCTCCCTCCCCGCCAGCACAACAGGTTTGCCCTTTTCCCAGGCTCACAGTGCAGGAATCCACACGGGCACAAAAGAAAGAAACCAGCCAACACAAGAGTCGTTGCAAGAACGCAGAAATCTCATCCCTGAGAATCAGAGTTAGAGGTTTGGATTATTATTATTATTATTATCACTTTTTTTTAACCTTCTCCTATCAGGCAATAAAAACAACTCACTCCAACTGCCCTCCACACCAGTGATGCACGGCCAGAGCTCTCTCAGCTGGCCTGTGGGAGATGCTGCTCCTCCTGCAGGAACACCCCTGCAGATGCTGCCCTTTCCCACCTGCATTTCCTCCACTGGGCAATGAGACAAGGCCGGCTTTGTTTGCTGCAATCACTCCCCTCTCACCCATAAAAGTATATCTATACATATATATTTCTATTTATATATTCTAACCAAAAATAAAATAAAATAAAAGGCCAACCAAACCCAAACCAAGCCCAAAGCACATTTGCCTTCCCCACTGGAAGCTCCCAGCCTGGGGCACAGTGACCCCAGGGCCCCTCCAGGCTCCGGCTGCTCGGCCCCACACCCTCTGCCCTCCCCACGCTCGCCCAAGCTCTGATGCCTCGAAGCAAGAGGTTGCATCGTCACTGTGAAAGATTTCAAAGGTTAGGCACTTAGTAGTGAACAACTGGAGCATTCGGTAGAAACGGTGGGACCTGGAATGACAATTGGACTAATTCTCTACAGAAAGAGGAAATTTTTTTCTTTTTTTTTTTTTTGGTTTTTTTTTACTGTACAATTTACAAAAATGCACACAATGAAAAGTTAAAGTTCTATCTAATAGCTTGATATAAAACCAATAACATTTCTTCTTCTCAACCCTACGCTTTTTTTTTCCTCTTTTTGTTTGGGTTGTTCTTTTTTTTTTGTGGACTTTTTTTTTTTAAGTTGTTTTTTGCTAAATCAAGCTTATATTGTAAACAAGACAAAACAGTGAGGGTGTGTTGCAGTCAACAGGAGAGAGGGATGGATTGAAAAGTCTCAGCAGCAAGGAAACAGTCCTTACAAAGGAGCTCTCTTGTGGCTTTACCGTGTGTCAGTGTGAAGGACCCAATGTGGTGAGTGACGTTAGAGACCCCCAGGGCAGTGGTGTCACAGCAGGGTCAGCTCGGGGGTGGCACCAGCTCTGCCCTAAAGGATTGCAGTGGCTGAACATCAAGTCCCAAAGGACTGTCCTTTGTTCTGGGCTGTGTTTCTCCTCTCCCAGTTTCTTGGGTGCATCTCTTCCTTCTCAGCGCTCAACGAGACAAAACGCGGGGGGCGAGCGTTGTTCGCGCGAGTCCCTTTGTGACCCCCGGCTCCCACCCTGGCAGGGGGGAATTATGATGGTAAATTAATTAAGAAATAGCCCAACAAAACTGCGCCAATCATGAGAAGGACCCACAGTTCTGCTTTTCCACCGTGGAAGGTGAGGATCGCTCTTCTCCCGGCTCCTCGCTTCCGTGGCCGGGTTGGCGCCTGGTGCGTGTCTCGGGACTAGACAAGGCAGTGGGGAGGGGGCAGTGAGGGATGTGCTCCTCCCGCTGCCTTCCCCAGAAGGAGGGAGCCTTCTTCCTCCATCTGTCTAGTGCAAAACAAAAACAAATCAAAAAGGAAAAAAATAAAGAACAACAGAGGAGAGAGAGGCTGCAGGGGCACCTCCGGCCCCGGGCGCTGAGCAGTCCTCAGGGCTGCCCCGCCGGCTGCCTCTGGCCCCGGGCCCCCATGGGAGCTCCCAGCCCTCCAGATGATAAAACTCATCCTTATTAAGCACGCACACCTCGCAGGGTTCCGCCGAGCCGCTAGCACCAGTCATCCTCATCGGCTTCATGGTAGTAACTGCGTCCTCTGGCGCCGGGGCCCGTGTTGAGCCCCAGCGTGTAGTGGTACCCGTTGGGCACCCGGCGGATTTGGTGTGACTGCGAGGTCAGGGAGGAGACGTAGGAAGTCCTTGAGGAGCGGCCCGAGTTGGTGGCCACGGCCTCCTCGAAGGTGAGCGTGTCCTCCGGCGCGGCGCGCTGCGGGCTGTCGGCGGCGGCATCGTCGCGGTGGCCCAGGTAGGGGTCGGAGCCGATGCGGGCCACGGCGGGCGGGGGCGGCTGCTGCTCCCCCCGCAGCAGCGCGTTGTGCTCGGACAGCCCGCGGCTCAGGCGGCCCGGGGAGAACGTGGGGGTTTGGAAAGTGGTGAAGTGCACGGGCGAGGAGTTAGCGGTCTTGTAAGTGATGCTGGGGCGTGGGGTCAGTGGAGTCTGTGGGAGCTGCCTCCGACCCCGGCAGGGGGTACTAGCACCAGATGTCGACAGCAAGGGGCTCCCATTAACTGAACCACTGCCCTACATCAAAATTGGAACAGAGCAAATCAAAAAATAAAAAAAGGGAAACACCGGACAAACACAAAGGCAGGCAGGTATCAAACAGAAGGAGAAGCAACAGAAGGCGGAGACGAGTCACAAGAGGAAAGAAAAGCAAAAAAAGAGAGAGTTTAGACAAGCACAGTCGGGGCGGGAGGTTCTCGAGAGATAATTCAACACGAGATGTGAAGAGCTGGAGAGTTCAAGTCTGGGAGCAGTAGGAACAGAGAGGGGCAGAGCATCGGTAGGACGCAAACTGGCACACGGCTCCAACAGAGGGGACACTGCCCAGGGGAGGCACCCACAGCATACAGGGCTCAACATGCGCCTTACCTGGCCTGGGAGCAGCTCAAAAACCTGAGTTATTGGGGATTTTTAGGAATTATTGTTGATTTTTTTACAGTTTTGCTTTGGGGTGGGTTTGTGCAGAACTTCACCCTACAATTGTGCATTTTGGGTTTTTGGGAGATGACCCTGCCCACAGGAGGGGGTTGGAAAGAGATGAGCTTTAAGGTCCCCTCCAAATCAAACCATTTTAGGACCCCATTAATCTATTTCTGTTGCCAGAAGTGGATTATGGGTTGTTATTATTATTATTAGGATTCTGCATGGAAGGAGGATCTGGGTGACTGTTTTTTGCAGGTTGGAAATGAAATGCCTTTGGATTAAATAGCCAATTTCTGAAAAAATAACCAAAAGCTTTTTGGACAGGATTTAACAAGTCCCTTTAACAGAAATGCATTCACATTCTCCTCTTTAATATTACACATTTGATTTTGGAGTGGTAGAAGGGTCTGGCAGCTTCCTGGGTTACTAATAATGCCTTGTGAGAGGGAACTAAGCTGCAGTAATTTACACAAATGCCACGAGTGAAAGGAAAGGGCCTATCTTCCCATTTCTGTTTACATTCTCCCAAGGCAGGACATGAGTGCATTGAACAATTCCTCAGCCTTTCCCAACCTAACATTTTGAGACCAGACCTTTAATTTTTAAAGACCACTTTTTCCTTCCTATCAACTCATCAGGCTGTCAGTCACTGCTTGTTCTGCCCTGCCTGGCTCTCCCAGTGACCAGGAATATTCCAGCATCCAGGGGAAGCTGCTCAGCTTCTCCCAAGGACCTGAGCACCTCACAATTACAAAAGAAAGGAGAACTAAATTTAGCCTGGAGAAAAGGAAGCTCAGGGAGGATCCTTTTGTTTTCTCCAACTCCCTGACAGAAGCATGGAGCCAGGTGGGGGGTCAGGCTCTGCTCCCATGTAAGAGGAAACAGGACAAGAGCAAACAGCTTCAAGTTGTGCCAGGGGAGGTTCAGGTTGGACATCAGGAGGAATTTCTTCCTGGAACGGGTGGACAGGCATTGGAAGGGGCTGCCCAGGGAGGTTTGGAGTCCCCAGCCCCAGAGGTGTCCAAGGAAGGCCTGGACAGCCCACCACTGTGGGCCGGTGACAAGGTGGGATTGGGCACAGCTTGGACTTGGAGGATTTTTCCAACCTTGGTATGAGGCCCCAAGCAGGACCTCAATGGCTTTATCTGCAACTGCCTGACTTCCCTTGCCCTTTCCACCTCCTCTAATTTAAACAAAACATGGAAAAGGTGCACAAAGCCCTGGCAGAGCTCAGGGCTGTTTCCCCACCCTGCCTCTCCTCACCTGTCTGTGTGGGCCGTGCTCTGGGCCCCCGTTGGGCGAGGTGGGCCTGCTCTGGTCAGCAGATTTGGGCTGGGCACGGTCCCGGCTGCCGTAGCGGTCGCAGGAGTAGAAGCGCTGCTTTTCGGAGGAGGAGGAGGAGTGCTGCTTCCTCTCCTGGGAGCGACCACGCTCCTGCTTCTTGTCCTTGGAAGAAGACTCTCCAGACTGGGCTACTGAAAGGAGAACGTTGGGTAGGGGGTCACCAGCGTGTTGAGACATAAACTTTAAGGAATTTAGAAATTTTAGAGGAGCTAAGGTTTTAGTTACAGATAAGTTTTATTGGAGTTAATTAAAATAAATGGGTAGGCCTTGATGAAGTTAAGAGTAAGTAGTTAACTAATAATTCATTGCTTGTCAATACGATGTTTGATTAGCTGGGTTTATAATGAAGAATGTAGAAACTGATAAATGGCTTTTAGGGAACGTAAGACAATTGTAGCTGCCTCTGTTTTGAAACCAATTAAAGATGGGGAATGGGAGTTCTACCAATGGGTTCATTTGTCATATTTGCATTGAAAAGGTAGAAAGGACAGAACGAGGAAGACTTCATTTACTTCCTCCTTTTGGGGCCCCTCCCCATGAAAGGGACCACAGACCCATTTCAAGGAACAAACTGCACATGCTTAATGGCTTTGGAACTAATTACCATGGGAAGCCAGGAATGGGATGTACCAGAGTTATGAATATGCATTTGTATTCTGGGTATTCAATATTTGTACAGATAAAAGGACTCTGTTATCACCTGTAAATTGCAGTGTGTATTTGGGAGCTATCCCACAATAAACATACACTTTCTAACTCTAAATTATTAGAGAGTTTTTGTCCGTCACAGTTGGATATTGGTACTAGATCAATATCCATATTTTTTTTATAAATCAGTGTGTGGGGTGGGGAGGTTCTTCCACACAATCAGGACCCCAAATCCCACCAGAAAGGAGGGAGACAGGGGATGCACATCTCCTTGCTGACCTCCCAGGGACAAATCCTTGTTGGCAAAGTGTCACTATAGGACACAAAACAACACGAGCGCACACACCGCTGCTCTCAAGGTGAAGAAAAGGGAAGTTTATTTTCTGACTCCAACACTTACAGATTTCCAAAAGTGACAGTGGATTGGAGGGTGAAAGTGTCATCTCTCCAATGACACTGGACAAACCAACAGTCCATTAAATTTCTCCTCCTCCATAAAAGAATGCAAAACAATGAGTTATTTACAGAAAGTGTGTGAGAAAGTGTAAGAGCTGAAATGAGAGATTGCAGGACTCCAGACAGCTCTTCAAAATGCAGTTTATTCCATCCAAGAGGTTACAGCAGCCCAGGGTCATGGGTGACAGAGCTGTGCCCACAGCTGCCAGCTCCAGCTGCAGGCAGGCCTGGAGACCCTTTGGTTTTGGTCACAATGCATTATAGACTTTTCTTTTGGTCACAATGCATTCTATACTTTTCTTTGCTGAGCATCTTCATACAGCAGAACCAATCTATACCTTAACTATTATCTACAGCCTATCATAACTACTGTAATTACCATATTCATGTTACTGTTCTCCAATCACTCAAAGTTAGTACATTACAGTTTAAGCTAGAAGTTGTTTTTCAGGTTTCTTGCAGTGGAAAATTCTGAGACCTTTTTCTACTTGCAACTTTGCTGCCTTGTTTGCCTGTGCTCTCTTTCTGCTTGGTAAAAACATCTTCCTGTTTGGGGTGGGTTTATCCTTTGCTCTAAGCCATAAAACCCCTTCTAACTAACACAGCCTTTGCCTCCTTGGTTATCCAGTGAGACTGGCTCAGCAATTCTTGTCTTCTAGATCAAAACTTGCTTCCATCTCTATTCCTTCATCAGACTCTACATTTAAAAATCTTTCTGCTAAGCACACATATCTGTGAGACTTTCTTGTCAAACTTTCATCCTTCTCAACAAGAAAGTTTGTGTTCCAGATTGCAATGCAAGATGTTTTCAATTGTCATCTGTAAGGCAGATTATCTTTTGTCAAGTGGGCAGTTTGCCTTATCTCTCTTTGAGTGACCACAATCACTCCTCCCTCGGGAGGGGACATCTGCTGGTAACAGCTATGGAATGTCCCTGCATGGCTGATAAGAACTACAGCATCCCATTGGGAGATGTGAGCCCAGAGGGAGGAGCCAAGCATTGCTACCCAGATATAATCCAGAGGTTTGGAGACACCAGCACGGCTTCTCCACTGGATTCTCCAGAGGAACAGCAGCTGCCTCTCCTTCCCCTGGATCTTCAGAGGCAGAATCCATCCTTCTCTACAGGATCCCTGCTCCAGCAGAACCAGCCCTGACACTGCAGGAGGACTGAGCCACATTTCCAATGGGACTGCCACCAACACCCTGACCCACAGGGTGTCAGGCTGGGTTCTGACTCTGGCAGTGTTGTACTAGTGCACTGCATTGTTCATTTTATCCTTTTATTTTCTTTCCCTATTAAAGAACTGTTATTTCCTGCTCCCATATTTTTTTCCTGAGAGCCCCTTAATTTAAAATTTATAGCAATTGGGAGGGGTGGGGAGGGTTTACATGCTCCATTTCAGGGGAGGCTCCTGCCTTCCTTAGCAGACACCCGTCTTTCCAAACCAAGACAGTTTGCTACAAGAACGTAAGCATCAGAAGGCTTAGAAAAATCTTAAAAAATCAGGGCAACAGCAAAGCACTCACCAGCTTGTCCATCAGCCATGCGATGGGCGGCCCTATCCAAGGACTTCTGCTTCTTGTCTTTGCGCCGGTGGCAGCGGTGGTGGTGGTGGTGGTGGCCCTGCTCTGGTGGCATGCGCTCCAGGGAGTACTCGTAGAGGTGCATGGCGTGAGGGCGCTGCGGGGCCAGCGTGGAGACCGAGCGCTTCATGGGGCTCGTGTCCGGGATGGGCTGCGGGGAACACGGAGGGACACGGAGCGGGGTGAGGGAAGGCGCCGCGCCCCGCTCGGCCGCCTGCTTCCCAGCATGGAGGGGGTTAAACAGCCAGAGAAAGGGGCAAGGAGGGCGAGGAGAGAAATGGTTAATTGGAGACAAACGGAGCGGGCAGGAGGGTTTGTGGGATGTGGACTGAGTGTGCAATTTGGGGAGGGAATGGGAGCTCCCAGTGCCAATCCATGGGGATCACACACAGGCAGCACTGCACAGCACACCCAGCGGAGAGCTCAGCAGGGACACGGGGCAGAGCAGCAGCCAAGCACCTCACAAGGGGAATTCTCCAACACCAGGGGCACCCACAGCTGCTCCAGGGCCTGCATCCCAAAGCAGCTCCAAAGAGGAAAGCAGGTAGCATTGCTGAGCACCACCACACAGAGGGGGAGAAAAATCAGGAATCAGGGGAGGTACAGGCCAAGCCACCAGGAGATTCCTTCTATCTCCCTGCAGTGAACACAACTCTCATCAAACATTCAAACCTCTCTTGTCCCACCATCACTCCCTGAACCCTTTGCCTGGGGCAAGGATAGTGGGTACATCCTGCAATCCTACCATGACATCTCCAGAAAGGAATACCTGTGTTTGCTATTGATGTTTTTAAAACATTTGTGTCCAAACATCTGGGCACTGAGAGCTGCAACAGCATTGCTGGACACCCCCTCTGTGCCAGGGGCAGCTCCAGACCCTGCTCCCTTCCCTTTGGGTACAAAACCTTACAAAGGTTTTGCAGAGCCCCAGACAAGTGTCCTGCAGGACAGCTCCTCTCACAGCCTCTGTTCTGGGATAAAGCTCAGAAAACAGGGACAATTCCCACATTTCCTTCTCTGCTGGCCTTTGGCTGGCTCTGTGTGGAGACAACAGCTCATCCATCCTCTGGATGCTTCCCTGGGTCTGTCACTGCACCCCAGCCATGTGCCACAGGAGAGATCTCAGAGCACAGTGCTCCAGCTTGACAGTAAAATTCAGGATGTTCCCCAGTCCCTCAGCCTTACACTTGTTTGAATTCCCAATCCAATAACTCCCTCCAACACCAGTTCTAAGGGAACATTTACTCTGCTCACTGTAACCTTTCCTAAGAGCTCTGTATTATTTTTCCTGTCTGCTCTCTTTTGTTTGCTTATCCCAAAATCCATATCTCTGCTTCCCTTGTGATATTTACCCAAGGCAAAGCCAATTGTTTCATAGCTCTGCTCATTATTTTGAGTGGAAAAACCACTCTTCCTCCCCTTGAGGGCAGATTATCCTGGCTGTAAAGGCACCACTGGGCAGTTACCCACATCTTGGTGCTTCCCACTGAAGGGCAGTTGGGATCCTGGTGCTGGAAGGTTTATCAGAGGCACAAGGCTGGGATGAGGGAGTCCAGCACAGCTTTTGGTGGGGCCCTGGAAGCACCAATTCCATCAGCAGGACCACGCTGTGCTGCTTTAGTGTCACCTCTTGTGGCCTTCATTTGTGTGGACAAGAAATTATACTCAGGAGCTTCGTGTCTGTCCTTGTTTAGTGCTGAGCCTGCAGCTGGGGGAAAGCAGGGGACTGTAAACTCAACAGTCTGATGGGCAAAAATGTGAGAAGTGAAATATTTCCCACTAAAAAACACATCCAGATTTTCAAAATCCATACAGGGCTGCCAGAAAGAAAGCAACAGAAAAACAAACAAAACCAAAGCCAAAAAAAAAAAAAACAAAAAAACAAAAACCAAAACCCAAAACAAACAAACAAAAAACCCAAAACCCAAAAAAACCAAAACCAAAAAAAAAAAAAACACCACCACCACCAAAAAACCCCACATAGAAACGAACACCTCTTTTTGGGCTTTGGTCCTGCTTCCACACTTATTCCAAGGACAGAATTCTCACTGACACGAATCAGTGGCAAAGCAATCAATCCTTTTTCCATAAATCCTGGCAAGGCTCTTGTTGTGGGAGGCACAGGCTCCCAAAAAGCCTCGGGAGACTGCATGCACCCCTGCAGAGAGCTCCTAATTGCTTCTTCATTACCAACCCGACTATTTTCACTGCCTAAATTCCTGAGCAATGAGGCATGAAAACAAACAAATACAAAAACCAAAAAGCAAACCACCCAGCCAAGCCCTGCTAGCAGAACGAGCAGCGTGCGACCAGGACAGAGGGAAAAGTGAGGAGAGAGAGAGAGAGAGCGGCTGTGCCTGAGCGACTCCAGATGAGAGGGGAGAAAAGTCAAGGGTTAAAGGAAGGTTAATTAATTCTTAAGGTGAATTTAATAGGATACAATTTAGTGCAAACTACATACTGCCAGGTAACTCCCAGGTGACCGTGCTTTGCTCCTCTGCAAACAATTCGGACAAGGTGAGGGACATTATTGGAAGCAGCCCCACAGTACAGCCAGTGTCAGACATCAGATGTGCAGCAGACACCATGACGACCAGGGAGGGAGGTGATGAGGGCAGGACAGCAAAGAGGGAGGGTGGAAACACAGGAGGAGGGGTTTTGTTAAATAAGTGGAACATAAAAAGAGAGAGGCAAACAGAAAGGGAGGCATCCAGGAACAGAAAGCGTTGCAAATAAGAGTTAGAAAGAACTCAAAAGTTTGGGGAGGGGCAGAGCAGCATGTGAGAGGGAAGGTGGGGGGCATGGAGGGGGAGACACACACAGAAAGGACATCAGTTATTCACCCAAGCTACAACCACTGAACATTGTATTATAAATGAGGTTAGATCTGATATTCCAGGCCTGATTCACACCCAGGGGTGGCACGAGGGGCAGTGGCACCCTGGGGACACAAGGCATGCTTCTGTCAGGGACACTCTGACTGCCATGGAGAGGAGCTTCCCAAGGGAAGGCTCTGCCAGCTGCACTGCCAAGGAAGGAGGAGGCCACCTGTGGTCTAGGATAAAGGACAATTTCTGGGAAGGGGAAAGCTTTGCTTTGTGAGCTGTTGCTTTTATTAAGCACAGTGAGGAGTGCTCCTGATAATTCTCAGAATCCCAGGGCTCACACAAAGGCCAGGAGCCAAGTGGGAAATCCTCTGGCTGGCAAGGGGCACCTTCAGCATGTTGGCACAACAATTCCATCTGTTGGAGCTATTGCTGTGTGTGCACAACACAGGGTTTCACTTTAGGGTGCAGCAAATCCTTCACATTCTGCTCCCCAGGGAGAGCCACAGAAACAGCCCAAGGTGTGGGAATCCACAAAATCAGAGGGTTTTGGGAAAGCTGCAAAAGGCAGCCTCAGAGACAGCAGAACTGTGATTAGAGCTAAGCAGTAGCCATGAGATAGGTCAGCAGAAAAATTATTTAAAAAGTAGAAAAGCAAGAACAAATAGAACAAAGGTCTGTGTATTAACACTTAATATATATTAACATGAATAACTCCCTAAGCTACAGAAAAGTTTTTCTTCCCAATAGGAAGATATTAGGAAGTTTGAAGCTTGATAATGGAGCTCTGTGCATTGTGTTTGAAGGCTCACAAGCAGGTATTGTATTTGAAATAAGCAAGCATTGTTTAACCAAAGGTACCTGTGCTTATGGTGGTTGGATAGAACAGCTGTCAATGTGCTTTTGCTTTGTGTGATTGCTCAAAAATTTATAAAGTAAGTTGTAACATGAAGTTCTTAGTCTGCTGCCTGAGATGTGAGCTGCTGGCATCTTCCCATTGTCATCACCATGTAATGAGACTGATGCTGGAAAATAAACCAGCTCAAGGCACCTTCCACAGCAGTCCTGTCCTGATTGTGATTTGTACACAGAGCCCTGGCTGGCAATACAAGGCCAGGCTGCTCCCTCCTGGCTGTGTGAATCAGGCCCTGGGAATGAGGCAGGACACGAGTGGTGAGATGTTGTGACAGAGAAGACAGGTTGGTGGCTGGGCAGCATTGGGGACAAACAGCAACAAACGTGTGAAATGGCCAGAAATGATCTGTGACATCCTACACATTAAGCAGTGCCCACAAGCTGCTGTGAAAGTCAACCCCAGTGAGGACATTTCTTAGAAAAATAAGTTCAATAAATCAACAAGGGAAATCCTCAACACCAAATTAGTGGCCAAGGTCACAGTACAGGAAAACACAGGGAGCACAGTCAGTGTCCCAGTGCAGCTCCCTAGTAGTCCCTGTGCCTGCTGCATCCACCTGTGTGTGTCACAGCACATCTGCAGCTTTTTGTAAGGATGGGGCACAGGAACATAGCTTGGCTGGCTGGATAGACAACACACAGGTAATGGGACATGTGCCTTCCAGGAACACAGCCTGCAAATGGCCTTGTCCCCAAATAGTGACCCTGACACTCTTGGGTGGCCCAGCCAGCAGGATCATCCTGGGCTGCTTTGTGCTGCTAGCAAGGAGGGGTAAAACTGGGGACAGTGCTGTGACTGCACAGGATAGCTGCCACACCCTGCAGGGAATCACTGCAGGGAATCCTGGCCACATCCTGCAGGGAATCACTGCAGGGAATCACTGCCACACCCTGCAGGGAATCCCAGCCACACCCTGCAGGGAATCACTGCAGGGAATCCCAGCCACACCTTGCAGGGAATCACTGCCACACCCTGCAGGGAATCACTGCCACACCCTGCAGGGGACACTGGCCACACCCTGCAGGGAATCACTGCAGGGAATCCCAGCCACACCCTACAGGGAATCACTGCAGGGAATCCCAGCCACACCCTACAGGGAATCACTGCAGGAAATCACTGCCACACCCTGCAGGGAATCACTGCAGGAAATCCCAGCCACACCCTGCAGGGAATCACTGCCACATCCTGCAGGGAATCACTGCAGGGAATCACTGCCACATCCTGCAGGGAATCACTGCCACACCCTGCAGGGAATCACTGCAGGGAATCACTGCCACATCCTGCAGGGAATCACTGCAGGAAATCCCAGCCACACCCTGCAGGGAATCACTGCCACATCCTGCAGGGAATCACTGCAGGAAATCCCAGCCACACCCTACAGGGAATCACTGCAGGGAATCACTGCCACATCCTGCAGGGAATCACTGCAGGGAATCACTGCCACATCCTGCAGGGAATCACTGCAGGGAATCACTGCCACATCCTGCAGGGAATCACTGCCACACCCTGCAGGGAACCCCTGGCCACACCCTGCAGGGAACCCCTGGCCACACCCTGCAGGGAATCACTGCAGGGAATCCCAGCCACACCCTGCAGGGAATCCCAGCCACACCCTGCAGGGAACCCCTGGCCACACCCTGCAGGGAACCCCCCTGCCATCCCAGCACAAGGCCTGGATTCCTGTTTCCACATCTTTTAACACCAATATTCCCAAGCCAGCTCCAGCCCATGGCAAGCAGAGAGAAGATGCTGAGATCTTGGCCTGCTCCCAGTCTCCCACCATCACATCCCCACCTCTCACCTGGGTTTCAGCAGCCAGGCGTGGCATGGAGGCTGCACGGCCCTGGCTCTCCAGGCCTGGCTGGGGCTCTCCGTTGGCAACTGTGGGGCTGATCTCCTTCATTTCTACCACCTGATCAAAACATGGAATGGGTTCAGTAGCAAGAACAGGAGTGTCAGCTTTGAAGCCACCAGCAGCTTCTTGGAAGTTTGATTTGACTGGGAAGAGATGCTGGTGTGGCAAAGAGAGCAACTGAAGAGCTGTGGAGTGTTGCAGTAAGGTAGAAAAATTCTAAAGAAAAGCCATATAAAATCAGGCTGCTCTGGCTGGCCTGTCACTTCTTCTAAGTCAAGCCAGCACTGTGCAAGCTCCCATGTGAAAGCAATGCTGGTGTGAGCAGTTCATTAGCATAACAATCTGTTCCTGGGTTAAAACTCTTTTTATACAGTTTTATAACAGTTTTTACACTGTTAGATAGAAAAATGAAAACTATCTGTACAAAGAACTTTTCCTGCACGTACACATCAAGGATTGGAGTGACCAATCCATAGAGAATAACAACTTGTTAATAACCAATAAAGTGATTGACAAGAAAGCTCCTGACCAATGGGAGTCACACATGAGGTCTGCAAAACTGTATAAAAAGGAGTTCTGTGAATAAAGAAGGGGGTTTTTTCCCACCATGAAGAAAATGGAGTCCCATGTGATTTATTCCCATAGTGGAGTGCCCAGGTTACTCTGTCCTCAGCAAGGACATCCCACAAGCAGTGGGATGAGCTGTTCCACCAGCCAGGAACCCCAGCTGTGACCTGGAAACCCCTCAGGTCATTCTGAGCATTCAAACCCCTCACCTGAGCTGGGACAATGGGATTGGGAAATGGGAGGAGAAAGCCTGAGGTAACCTATGGCAGCAAGACAGAATCCCAGGAAAAGCACGTCCAGATTGGCTGTGGGACCTGCCAGGTTTGGGATTTCTCCACAATGGAGAAAAAAAAGCAAACAAGAGACACAACAATGCTTCCCTCAAGGCACAGATCTCCTGCTAAATGCAGGTCCCCCTGCCTTCACCTGTTTTTTCTAAACACTTTCCAAAACTTCTAAAAATCCACCACGGCTCTAAAATCTCCTGCACCTCACCCTGTCTTCAGCCGCTTTTTCTAAGTATTTTCTAAAATTTCTTAAATTCTACCACAGTTCTAAAATTTCCTGCATCTCATCCAATCTTCACCTAAACATTTTCTTAAATTCTGGAGTTCGTACATTCTAAACATTTTCTTAAATTTCTGGAGTTCTACCACACCTCTAAAATCTCCTGCATCTCACCCTGTCTTCACCTGCTTTTTCTAACCATTTTCTAAAATTTCTTGTATTCTACCACACCTCTAAAATCTCCTGCATCTCACCCTGTCTTCACCTGCTTTTTCTAACCATTTTCTAAAATTTCTTAAATTCTACCACAGCTCTAAAATCTCCTGCATCTCACCCTGTCTTCACCTGCTTTTTCTAACCATTTTCTAAAATTTCTTATATTCTACCACAGCTCTAAAATCTCCTGCATCTCACCCTGTCTTCACCTGCTTTTTCTAAACATTTTCTACAATTTCTTATATTCTACCACACCTCTAAAATCTCCTGCATCTCACCCTGTCTTCACCTGCTTTTTCTAACCATTTTCTAAATTTTCTTAAATTCTACCACAGCTCTAAAATCTCCTGCATCTCACCCTGTCTTCACCTGCTTTTTCTAAACATTTTCTACAATTTCTTATATTCTACCACACCTCTAAAATCTCCTGCATCTCACCCTGTCTTCACCTGCTTTTTCTAAACATTTTCTAAATTTTCTTGAATTCTACCACACCTCTAAAACTCCTGCATCTCACCCTGTCTTCACCTGCTTTTTCTAAACATTTTCTAAATTTTCTTAAATTCTACCACACCTCTAAAACTCCTGCATCTCACCCTGTCTTCACCTGCTTTTTCTAAACATTTTCTACAATTTCTTATATTCTACCACACCTCTAAAATCTCCTGCATCTCACCCTGTCTTCACCTGCTTTTTCTAACCATTTTCTAAATTTTCTTGAATTCCACCACAGCTCTAAAACCTGCTCCTCCCCCTTTCCCCCATCTGCTCACCCTCTCAATGGGGATCTCCTCGGAGTGGCCTCGCTCAAAAGCTGGGCTCCTGGTTTCATAAAACACATCCTGGGTGCGCTGGGTCCCCCAAGAACTGGACTCTCTGATCCCTCCCTCTGGGGGTGGCCTGTCCAAAGAAAAAGAGGGAAAAAGATTCATCCTTTTGCAAAGAGATTTTGCTAAATTTGGCAAACCAAACTCGAGCGCCCTTTGGGGTTTCACGTGTGAAAATCAGTTGCAGGATGGGCACAATGGCTGGTGAAGCTCTAAGGTGCCCTGGTTTTTCTCCTGTAGAGCCTGAAGATCCCATGAGAACAAGGAAATCAAACCAACCATGATTTTTTTTTTTTTCAATAATTAAGGAAAACAACTTCTGCCACTTAAATCCTGATGGACAATGAAGAATTTGGGAATTCAGGCTGATTTTGTGTGCAGAGCCAGCTGGACATTGGTCAAACACCTCAACCATACTGAAGTCCCTTCAGCTGTCCAGTCTGGTGTTGGTTTCCCCATCAGGATTATTTGGGATGTTTAAACCTCAGCTGTCTGTCACTAAAACTCCACAGCACTCATGATCCAGAGGAAAATCACCTGCAGAGCAGGAAATGGAGAACTGATGAGGGATCACTGTCACCAGGAGTGTTTGGAAAGCTCTCCATGAAGGGATCATTTCCCCAAAGAGACAAATTGTGCTGTGGCAAGCACTTGCTGCTGCCCAGTGCCACAAGCTCAAGGACTGAATTTATTCCCAAGGATCTTTGGCCTCTCAAAACCTCATTGCTGGGGTTTGTTTGGTTGTTTTGCAACGGTCCCAAATTCCTGTGAGCAAACTCACCCTGGGCAGCTCCCAGTGAGGATTCATGAAGGAAACACAAAGATCCCAATGCCACCAGCACTGGGATAACCACAGCAGGAGCAGAGCCACCATGGGAATTATCCCAGCCATGGTGAGAAGGGGCTGCTGGCTTTGGTGTCACCAGAGCAGCAGTGGTGGATGGGGTGACCCTGAGGTGTGAGTGGCTCAGGGGTGAGCCCAAGGTTTGGTGGCTCTGGAAGGGCTCAGGAGTGAGCCCAAGGTTTGGTGGCTCTGGAGGGGCTCAGGGGTGAGCCCGAGGTGGGGTAGCTCAGGGGTGACGCCAAGGGTGGCTCTGGAGGGGGCTCAGGGGTGACCCCAAAGGTGGCTCTGGAGGGGCTCAGGGGTGACCCCAGGTGTGGTGGCCCTGGAGGGGCTCAGGGGTGACCCCGAGGTGGGGTAGCTCAGGGGTGACCCCAAGGGTGGCTCTGGAGGGGGCTCAGGGGTGATCCTGAGGTGTGGTGGCTCTGGAGGGGCTCAGGGGTGACTCTGAGGTGGGGTAGCTCAGGGGTGACCCCAAGGGTGGCTCTGGAGGGGCTCAGGGGTGACTCTGAGGTGTGGTGGCTCTGGGGGGGGGCTCAGGGGTGACCCCGAGGTGGGGTAGCTCAGGGGTGACCCCAAGGGTGGCTCTGGAGGGCTCAGGGATACTCACAGGGCTCCCCCGTTGTTGAGGGAGGCCGAGCTCTTCTGGCGCAGGAAGGCCTTGGCGTTGCTGAAGGCCGCGGGCTGCGTCTGCTCCAGGGTGGCCTTCAAGGGGTGGAACAGGGACACTGGCCCGGGCTGCCAAGCACAAGGGAGGGGTATCAGAGCTGGCATGGCCTGCAGGGCTTTCCCTACTCTGTGAAAAGTCCACTTTGCCACCCTGGGACAGCAGAAAGCCATGCCAGCCTGGCCACAGCAGGGAGGGGCTCTGAGGGACCCCTGGTACAAGTCAAGCCCTGCTGCAATCCCCCCTCCTTCCAAATGCTCTCCCAAGCCCTACTGCAATCCCCCCTCCCTCTGAATGCTCTCCCCAGCCCTACTGCAATCCCCCTTCCTTCTGAATGCTCTCCCCAGCCCTGCTGCAATCCCCCTTCCCTCTAAATGCTCTCCCAACTCCTGCTGCAATCCCTCCTCCCTCTGAATGCTCTTCCCTTCCCTCTGAATGTTCTCCCCAGTCCTGCTGCAATCCTCTTTCCCCCTAAATGTTCTCTCCAGTCGTTTTGCAATCCCCTTTCCCTCTAAACGCTCTCCCTATCACCAGAGCATAGCAGGGAATTCCCCGAATTCCCTCTGGATGTGGCCAGAGAGGCAGCACAGTTCCAATGGCTCTGGATGGAGCTGGTGGAACCATCCAGGTGTGGGACAGATCTCCACCCTGTGCTGGAGATCAGCTGGATGCTCATCCTAAAAACAACAGGTATTTGTCCTTCTGGAAGTGATTGGGCTTTCAATGCCAGTTGTGTGAAAATATTTTCTAGAATTTGTAAAAATTAGAGCCAAAATGACTTGGAATAATTCCTATTTTCAAAAATAACTTAAGCTTTCTATAGCTACAGCAGCTTTCAATAGTTCTTTGGTCTCCCAAGGAAATCTTTTGGTGTGCCCTAGGCCACTTTTTAACACAGCATTTAGAATTTCAAAGATCAGTTGTCATTTTTTTGAAAAGATCTTTCTTTACTGGAAAAGGCAACTGCAACAATTTTTTAAAGTACTTTTTTACAGAGACTTTCAGGAGAGATTTCCATTTTTGAGCCAGCATTTTGAAACTCTGCCTGGAAGAGCAGCCAGGCCTTCTGGATGAATCCTGCTGGTGATTTTTGTTAAAGCTGCCCAAGAGGGAGGATAGAAAAACCCCTTTTTGTACCTGGCACAGGCCCCCGGGGGGCTGGACTTGCTCCCTGCTGTTCTTATTCTGCTTGTAGAAGTCAAATATCATCAGGGCTGCGTAGACCTTCCCCACAGTCATTTCATCAGCTGCCAGAGCAACACAGCAGAGCCATTCCAAGGATGAAGAGAAGACAGGAATAAGAAAAAAACCAGCAAATGGTGAAAAACGGGGAGAGGGAGGAAGCAACATAAAAATTTTGAGGAAAAAAAAAATTATTAATAAAATAAATTATAATTATTATTAATAAATTATTTTTATGAATAAGAAATAATAATGATGATGATAAATTATTTTATGAATAAAATAAAATTTTATGAGAATAATGAGGTAAAACAGACACAGAAAAGTAGGGGAAAGGGAAAAAAAAGAGAAAATGTTACAACAGATTCTTCAACTCTTTGCCTGTTGCTGCCTTTCCTTGGTTTGGAGCTCTCTCTGGCAAACACAGGGATTGTGTAGGAAAAACCAGGCAGGAAAACTCAGTGGCATTGTCAGCATTGCTGAGAGAATTCCTAAATTCACCCCAGACCCCCAGCCAGCCTTTATCAATACAGCAGCCTTACCCCTGCTTCTCTGAATTACAGTGAGTGGAGTATAATGGGCTGATGTACATTTAAGGAATATTTCATTTTTCCAGATGGTTTTTTCACCCTCAGAGCCATGGGACAGCCATTCCCTGCCCAGCACTGGAGCACTCACCATGGAAAAAACTGGAGCAGCAGAGATAGAGGAATCAAGAGAGGAGGGGAGGGAAAGACTTGAGCAGTCACTACCCACTGATCTGCACCTCCTCAGCTCCCTCATTTTTCTTAATTAACAATGCCTTTATTATTCCACACTGCTTCTCATTAATCAGGAACCCAGAGCTAATCAAGAGAACAGCAAACTCCCCATTTTCTCAGCACTTTTGCCCAGGACATCACCAAATAACACAAAGGCCTTTAACCCCCAAACACCTCACATCCGATTCCCCAAGTCCTCAGCAAGCTTTAGCTTTCCTTCTCCCTGTTTTTCTGCAGCTCAAATTGCAGAAATTGCTCTCCCACCCTGCAAGGCCCAGGCTGGAGGCTGCCAGAAATGGGGAGGAGCTCTGGAAGAGGCCACACAGGGCATTGGTCTCTTCTGGGCACTGTTTGGGATTTGGGTTTTTCTGTGCACAGAGAATCTCCTGCAGCACAATGAAGTCCCTGCCTGGAGGTGAGCTCAGCTCCCCCAGTCCCTGTGTGACAGAGCCAGGGCAGACCAAGGAGCTCAGCTGCCCTGGGTGTCCCTGCTGCATCCTCCAGGTGACACAGACAGGGCTTGGGACAGAGCAGGTGAGGAGGGAAGAACCTAATCTGGGGTTGGATAGAGCAGATGAGGAAGGAGAAACCTAATCTGGAGTTGGATAGAGCATGTGAGGAGGGAAGAACCTAATCTGGGGTTGGATAGAGCAGATAAGGAAGAAAAAACCTGATCTGGGGTTGGATAGAGCAGATGAGGAGGAAGAAACCTAATCTGGGGTTGGATAGAGAAGATGAAGAGGGAAAAACCTAATCTAGGGTTGGATAAAGCAGACAAGGAAGGAGAAATCCAATCTAGGGTTGGATAGGGCAAATGAGGAGGGAAGAACCTAATCTGGGGTTGGATAGAGCAGGCAAGGAGGGAAAAACCTAATCTGGGGTTGGATAAAGCAGATGGAGAGGGAAAAACCCAATCTGGGGTTGTACAGAGCAGGCAAGGAGGGAAAAACCCAATCTGGGGTTCCTGGGATGGACCCAGTGCTTGAAGCACTTACGTTTGTGAGGAGGCACCAGCAAATCCAGAGTCTTCTGGGACAGGTTGGGCCAGACCAGCGAGATCTCCTTCCTCAGCTCAGCATCACACTGGTGCTGCTTCACACCTCCTGCAGCCAGGGAAGGAGAGGAGAGCAGTGAAGCCCTGCCCTGGAGCACATCCCACTGTTTGCATCCCCCTTTCCCATTCCTTGGGAAGGGTGAGCCAGCACAGCCCTTCCCTGCCCAGGGAATCTGTGAATTCTCCATGAAAGAAGTGCAGGAACCCAGCAGGAGCAGCCTTGCCTCACCCTGGGCACCCTGAGTGTGAAAAATGCATGTATTTTATGATTGGCTTTTTGCAAATATTAAAAGGAATATTATATGTGTTGTGTTAGAGAGTAATGCTGTATTAATTCTCTTAAGTACTGTGTTAAATATAGTTTTAGGTTATAAAAAATGTTAAAATAGAAACAATGTTATGTAGGATACTTTTTTAAAGAAAGGACTCGCACTGAGATAGCAGCCACAAGACACCTGAACCTTTCAGAGAAAGAGAATTTATTGCCCCATTATCAGGAGAAATGAACTTCTTCCTGCCTCAAAGGCACTGTTAGGATTCAGAGAAAGAAGCTGACCGATGACCAGACAGAATCCTGTGTTTGAATGGAATTTATGCATCATGGATGAAGTGTATGAATATGCAACAGGCTGTTGTTTTTAAGGTTTAATCCTTTGTTAATGTGGGGCCTTTTTTGGGCTCGTGCTGCCCAGAAAAGGTACCCAGACATCTTTAACTCTTTGTTTCTATTGTCTCATATTGTCCTAATTCAAATTGTCCAAATTATTATTACTCTAATTGTATTACTATTTTTAATAACCATTTTATTACTATTAAACTTTTAAAATTTTAAAAACAAGTGATTGGCGTTTTTCACAGTGAGCACTGACCTGGGACTTAAATTTGAGCTCAAACTTATTCCATGCTTAAACTGCAAGTGCCTCTTCCATTGGGGAGTGTCTGTGGAGGCAGCAGCACCTCCCAGGTGGGATGGAAAGGACTCAGACATGAATTGCTGTGATGGTGTTCACAGGGGTCCCAGGATGAGGGAAGAGATGAGGATCTGACTCCATGTTTCAGAAGGCTGATTTATTATTTTATGATATATATTATATTAAAACTATACTAAAAGAATAGAAGAAAGGATTTCATCAGAAGGCTGGCTAAGAATAGAAAAAGAATGGAATGATAACAAAGGTTTGTGGCTGGGACAGAGAATCCGAGCCAGCTGACTGTGATTGGCCATTAATTAGAAACAACCCCATGAGCCCAATCCCAGATGCACCTGTTGCATTCCACAGCAGCAGATAACCATTGGTTACATTTTGTTCCTGAGGCCTCTCAGCTTCTCAGGAGAAAAAAATCCTAAGGAAAGGATTTTTCAGAAAATATCATGGCTACAAATCACAAAATCCTATAACCTCAGACTGGTTTGGGTTGGAAAAGACCCTAAAGATCCTCTAACCCAAGGCTCTGCCATGGCCAGGTTCACCCTGCACTGAGCAGTGTCCTGATGAATTGATTACAAACCCTCTTCAAACCCACCAGCTCTTCCCAAAACCCCTGGCAATGGCACAAATTGAGGGTAGAGCAGAGCCAAACCCAGCAGCTCCGTCCAAGGGCCAAAGCCAGGCCTAAATGCACACATGGAAAGTGATTAAAGGCTGGGGGAGCCCCAGGCCAGCTCCCAGCTGAATTCCCCTCGCAGCAGGTAATTAAGGACTTCATCTGAATGACAGAGATTATTTTTCTAAGAGCAGAGTAAGGGAGGAGGCTCTGGGTACTCTGTTACACCGTGGTTTGAACTCCCACACGGGAACTCATTAGGGAGGTTTATTAAGGGCCTGTTAAGCCCACTAAAGACTCAATTAAATGTAGCACATGAAACCTATTCAGAGGGAGCTGTAACAACAAAACAGGTCAGAACCTCACACCACGGAGCAGAGCTAAACCACAGAAATAATCCAGGGTAGCAGCTGAGTTCTCCTCTCTGGCTCCCTTCCAGCTTTCAAAAGGGTGGGGGAGCTTTTCCAATTGAAAAAGGCTGACAGGTAACCAGAAACTGAAAATTAAACAAACTCTCAGCATCCTTATCTAGGAGCTATTCCTGAAATGAGATGCTGGCTCCTGAAGTCACAGGAAATCCTAAAAGCATCTGTAGAAATGAGTGTCTGATCCTTGTCTTGATCCCACTCCTTTGGGGAGCCCCAGGCACCTCAAAATTTTGTCCTTTTCCAGCAATGCCTCCCCAAAGCATCACAGGCAAAGTTTAAGCAGCACAGGAGGGAGGAGATTAACTCAAATATTTGCACTGGCCTAAAACTGCTTAGTTTAGGCCTAACCCTGCCTTGCCCCTGCTCCCAGGAGCCTGGTTCCCTCCTGTTACCTTTTAAATGAGGTGTAAGAGTGCTTAGGCCAGGCATGCCTCGACTGTGACCCCAGGCAGGCTGATGAGATGGGGTAACGACCCAGAGAAAAGGCCGGTGCGTTTTGTTACACTGCAAGGTTTAATTGGAGCCAGTAAACGCCTGATTAACCACTGCAATAATCACACTGGATCTCAAGGTGGAATGTGCTCCAGGGCACTTGCAGTTCCTGCCTTGCTGCCAGCATGGAAGGGCTGGAATAGTTCAGAACTGGTGTGGAAACTCATTTCTGATTCAGAGCAAGGAGGACACGTCCTGGGCTTCCCAGCTGGGATGGGCAAGGATTCCCACATTTCACTGCCACCCCAAAGGCACAGGGATGCTCAGGACCTCTCTGGCCTCTCCCCAAGCTCCCCTTTGTGGGCAAGGCACAACTTCCCAAGGATTTTCTGGGATTCACATTCTCTGAACCTCAGAGAAAGAAAAAACAATTCTTATCTCATTTACTGCTCCTGTGTTTTGGAACAAGTGGAATGCATTGAGGAAGATTGTGTACCTGAAGGAATTTGCTTAATTGGATTCTGGTGTGAGTGTTTTTGATTCACTGACCAATTGAATCCAGGTGTGTGTGTGTGTGTGTCAGGACTGTTGGCTGACAGTCACAAAATTCTGTGCAGTGGAGTACTTGTGCAGATTCAGTTTAGATGTAGTGTAATATAAGATAATTAATATATATAATTATATATATGTGTAAATATATAATATAAAGTAATTAATTAGCCTTCTGATATCAATGGAGTCCTCCTCATTTTCTCTCCAGACTTAGGAGCTGCCTTGATTTACTACACCCTGTCCTCGAGTGTTGGCATGGGAAGATAGGAATCCCACCTGGGGCAGAATTTCCATGATTTTGGGAGGACACCAAGCCCACAGATTTCACTGAATACTCTGAGCTGGATGGGACCCACCAAGATTAAGTCAAACTCTTCAGTGAATGGCCCATCCAGGGATAAATCTGTACCCTTGGTGTTCCTGGCACCTTGCTGGGACCAACCAAGCCCATCTTGTGGTCAGGAGCTGGGCTGTGAGCCACTGAGCTCTCAGAAAACTCCAATTTTCTCCTGGTTTTCTGGAGCTCAGATGGCAGAAAATGCTCTCCCATCCTGCAAGGCAAAGGCTGGAGGCTGACAAAGCTGGGGGAAAGCTCTGGAAGAGGCCAGGCAAGGCACTGGTCTCTTACTGGTGCTGTTTTGGGTTTTTTTTCCATGCACAGGAAACCTGCAGCATAACAAAATCCACACCTAGAGGAGCTTCAGTTCCCTAATCCCTGTGTGCCATGGGCACAGAGCATTCCAAGGAGCTCAGCTGCCCTTGGTGTCTTTGCTGCATCCTCCAGGTGACCCAGCCACCCCATCCCTGTCACCTGAGGCCAGTTTGATCTCCAGGTGACCCAGCCACCCCATCCCTGTCACCTGAGGCCAGTTTGATCTCCAGGTGACCCAGCCACCCCATCCCTGTCACCTGAGGCCAGTTTGATCTCCAGGTGACCCAGCCACCCTGTCCCTGTCACCTGAGGCCAGTTTGATCTCCAGGTGACCCAGCCATGCCCACCCTCTCACCTGAGGCCAGTTTGATCTCCAGGTGACCCAGCCATGCCCACCCTCTCACCTGAGGCCAGTTTGATCTCCAGGTGACCCAGCCATGCCCACCCTCTCACCTGAAGCCAGTTTGATCTCCAGGTGACCCAGCCATCCCCACCCTCTCACCTGAGGCCAGTTTGATCTCCAGCCATCCCCACCCTCTCACCTGAGGCCAGTTTGATCTCCAGGGCTGTGCGGATCAGGGCCATCAGCGTGGAGGTGAAGTGCACAGTTAAATCCTCAGGAGAGATGGGCATGTTCATCCTCACCAGGCGCTGGAGACAGACAGGGCTGGCTGTGAGGGGGGCCAGGAGTCCTCCCCCCACCCTCACCTGCCCCTCTCTGAACCCCCAAAATACCAAAAACATGAACAGGAAGGAACTGTTTGTGTGCTGAGGTGAAATTCTTCTGCACATGGATAGCAGCTCCTGTCCAGGAGTGGCTTTGGGGTAGAACTTCAGTGGGTTAAAGAGTGATTTGCCAGCACTGCACTGCAATCCTACAGAGCTCTCCCAAAAGGAAGCCAGGTGGGGAGGCTCTCATCCCATTTCCTGACTGTCTCCAGTGGTGTCTGCACCATCCAGATGTTGGAACCCTGGTTGCTGAGAATTTCAGATTTCTGTGCTGACAGCCACTGACCCCAGGAGAACACTGCATTTGACCTGAGGCTGTGGAGAAGCTTCCAGAATGGAATGGCAGGACTGGGATTGTGGGTGTGGAGTTTGAATAGAAGTGTGTGATACCACAGGGTGGGAAACTTATTAAAGTCTTAGGATATAGTAATATATATATATATATCTCAAGATGGAGGTTTTAGGGCAGAGGCTGGTCCTTCTTCTTCACCTTCTTCTTCACAGGTTTAAGCAGTATTGTGTAATTAGATAAAAAAGTCAACAAAGTCCAAGGAAGTCCCTGGGTGTTGATCTGCCTGAGCACAGCCTCAAAACCAGTGGCAGCTTGGCCTGGCCCTTTGCAGGGGAGAGAATTTCATCCCCACCTGAAAGCTGCTTGGGCTGTTATTTACACCCCTCTGTCTGCCCAGAAACCTCCTCTTTGTCTAACAACAGCCCCCAAAGGCTGCTGGAGATGCCAGCTGCACTCCCCCCGAGGCTCTGGGTGCTGCAGAGTGGCCACAAGCCTGGCACTGTTTGCAGAGATGCAGATTTTGCTGCAGCCTCTTTGCTGCCCTGGGCAAAATCTGCAGCAGAAACTCCTCAGCTGATGGGAATTGTCCTGCTGGGGAAGGGAAGGTGGTGCAGGTGAGAGCAGGGAGCTGCTGGAGCCTCAGGCAAGGGGAGAGGCTCAGTGGGAACCCTGATTGCTGCTCTGTGTTTTCCCCAAACCAAGCCCTGGCTGGGGCATGAACACTGGGCCAGGTGTTCCATCTCTGGGATAACCTCCCTGACTTGCCAGCCTTCCAGGTTTCACTTCCAATTCTGCTTCCCTGATGTATGGACTGAGCTGCCTTAGAATCCCAGACTGGTTTGAGTTGGGAAACACCTTAAAGATCTCATCCCACCCCCTGCCATGGGCAGGGACCTTTCCCAGCCCAGGTTGCTCCAAGCTCTGTCCAGCCTGGCCCTGGACACTTCCATGCCCTCAGAGGGGGCAGACCCCAACCCTGGCGCCTTCTGGAGACAATTCACCCTCAGGGGGACACTTGGTGGTGTTGGCATGAGCAGACAAAGGGCACAAAGTGCTGGTCCAGTGTAAAATCTGCTCAGGAGAGCTGAAATCTCCTTATTCACCCATTTACGCATTTTCAGCTCTCATTTCATCCTGCAGGGACCAGAGACCGCTGTAACAACATCCCTGTCACCTGAAGTCTGGGACAAGCCCTTGTGCTCTCCCTCACAGCATGCCCAGAGGTTATTCTGTGTCTGCCCAGCCTCAGAGACAGGGAAATCAAAGTTCAGCCTCTCAGTCAGTGACAGTACCAAGTGCTGGCAACACCATGGGGTTTTTTTTTTTGTTCACTCATGTCAAATGAAACAGGATTTAATTCCAATTCTGCCCTCAGCACACAAAAAGTTACCAAAAAGACCCCAAAAAACCATCAATGAGAGCTCACAGTTAACAATCACAGAGTCCCAGAATCCCACTGGAGTGGGAGAGAGGGAAGGGATGCAGAGAGAAAGAAGATGCATGCAAGTGAAGAACAGGCAAATGAGGAGCAATTCCCCACAGGAGAGCTCTATCCTCACAGAAATCACCCCAAAAACCACTTGGGCACATCTCAGGTGTTCCCAGCTGACTTCCCAAAGGATACAGATGCACAACACAGGCCACCCACAGCTGCACTGAGCAGTGCTCTCTCCTCAATCTGAGCCAGGACAGAGGATTTAGGGGAAGATTTTCCAAGGGGATTCCCACTTTTGGAAGCTTGGTTGAGCTAAACCCACATTTTGCTGCAAACAGGCACCTGGAAGAGGCTCTCCCTACCCCACCTCCTTGCCCTGCTCTCTGCATTCCCCCCTGCACTGCCATTTTCTCCATCCCAGTATCCAAACTGGAAACTCAGACACCTCCAGGCCACTGGAATTCCCAATGTGAGAGCCCAGCAGGGAGCAGAAGGGGGGGGTTGAGGTGCTCAGGAGGCTCAGGAGAGGGGAGCTGTGATGGGATGAGTCCCTGTGTCCCCTCAGGTGCCAGGCTGGGATTCACCTCCCTCTGGACAGCACTTGAGGAGTTCCTGCCCTGCCAAGGTGAGCTGCAGGTTGCACCTTCCAGCTGCCCATTTATTGGCCAAAAAAAAAGCCAAAAAATAAGAGAGAAATGTCTCAGAACCTGCAGCATCCAAAGCCAACAAGCCTCAGCTAAAGCCACCTGAGATCCTCCCAAAAACAGGGAAAATTCCTGTCTTGGAAGCCCCTGGCTTGAGAAAATCTGTTCTTTAAATGAATATTGGCATGTCTGAGAGCTCCTGCTGAGGGTGGAGCAGCTGGAAGAAAAGAATTGATTCACCTTGGATCCAAAATAGCTTTGCCACCACGGCTCAGGGGGTGAGGGAGGGGTGGGTGAGGCATTGCTCACCCCACACCCCAAATCAATGTCCCCAATCCCCGTGGGCACCCAGAGCCAGGAATCAGCCAGACACTGGCTCAGCCAGGAGGGATTTGATCCTTGAGCATTATCAGGGGTGTTTTCTCAATGCCAGAAATGCAGCAAAAAGGCTGAAATTGCAAACAAAAGTTATACTAGGTTTTTTTTCCTCCTTTCAATATTACAAAATAACCTTATACATAAAAATATCTCCTGGTGCAGAGCTTGAAATTTCAAGCCTTTCCAGGTTATTTTCTAATTTTATCTGTATTTAATTCCTCTCCATTTCTAGAGGATCCATTTAAAGGGAATCCAATTGAAATTGGTAACATTTGTCAAACTCAAAATATTCTGCTTGACCCAAAATTTCTTCTTGAAAAATTCAGTCAAGAACTTTTGGTTTTCATCCTGCACCAGACTAGAAGAGAAAACCACAAGTTTTCTCAAAGATTATGGACAAGAACATAGGTAAAAAAAAAATTGAAAAAGTTGTTTAGAGTGTACTCAATTAAAACAAAAATTAACTTCCCCCCCCATTTTTTTCTGTTTCTTCTGCCTGAAGTTGTGCTTCAAGACTGTCAGAGCTGTAGCTCATGGATTGAAACAGGATGAAAAAATTTGAGAGGGAAAGGGAATGAAGGAAAAAAAGGAAAAGGGGGGGGAAGGAAAAGGGGGGGGAAGGAAAAGGGGGGGAAGGAAAAAGGAAAAGGAAGGGAAAAGGGGAGGAAAAAAGGAAAGGAGGGGGGAAAGGGGGAACAAAATAAAAAGGAAAAAACAACAACAAACCAAAAAAATCCCAATAACAACACAAATAACAACCAAAACAAACAGAAAAAAACCCCCAACTCTAATTTGGATAATTTCCCATCTTTCTGGAGCCCAGAAGGAAATTTTGGGAGCCTGCTGCTCCTTCCCTACACTGATAAAGAACTTGGGAATCACCAGCCACAGCCCAGGGGCTGGATCAGTGTTTGGACTCGATGACCTTGGAGGTCTTCTCCATCCTAAATGATTCTGTGATCCCATCAATTTAAGTCTTTTCTATCCCATCAGATGAAAAGGGGGAAGAAAACCTCTTTGACATCACCCTGCTGTATCAGGATTTGCTCACTGTTCCTGCCCATGGAATTGGGCGAGCGTTGAGGTCCCTTCCAACCCAAACCATCCTGGCATTCTCTGATTGCTGGGATGATCCAGGGGCGCTCGGGTGAATTAATGACGGGAAACAGGAAGGAGAAAAAGGTGGAAATGCTTCCCAGGAGTCCTGGGCTGCAGGGAAGGGATCCCCAGCCCCGGGGAGGAGCGCAGCCGGCAGCAGGTGGAGTCCCCGCTCCGCTGTGGGAGCCCTCCCGCAGCCCCCGCCTTTCATTAGGCGGATTTGGAGCTCGTTAAAGCTCCTGCAGGAGAGGCCCCAGGGGCAGCAGCCGTGCCGATGTCTCCGGAGTCTCGTAATTAACGCTGGGTGATAACGAGGGGCTGATTAGAGGCGGGGTCGGGAGGCAGCGCTCGGTGCGTGGGGTCAGGAGGCGGCCCCGGCGCTGTTTAATTGGTAATTAACAGAGTCAGCGCTAATGAGGAACCGAATCTCTGTGACAGCAATAAATTCCCTTTCAGCTTTGCTCAGGGACTGCCTGGACAGTGGCACAAAAGGCAGGGACAGGGTTGGAGGAATAGGGGGGAAATTCATCCCGGGATCAAAGGTGCCTTGCTGGATTCCAGCCTGACCCAGAAAAAGTGAGTGCACCCTAAATCCTGGCACATTTACCCAGAGACAGCAGGAACAGGAGCACACAGTGCCTGGAAAACTACTGGCACCCCGACAGATTTGAATTATTAAGAGCACCCCATCAGCCTCTGGGACAGGAACTGCTCTGGGAATGATCCCCAGACAGGAATAAATTCGGGACAGTGGAGCGCTGCTGTGGGAAATGAGGTCGAGTTTGGTGAATAAATTATTTGCTATGAATAATTCACCCCGACCTAGTTGGAATGATTCTACTCTGGTTTAATTCTGCTGGCTTTGGAGAGGCTCTCCACAGCTTTCATCCCTCTCAGATCATCCCAGGAATGACAGAATCCCGGGATGGTTTGGGTTGGAAGGGACCTCAAAGCTCGTCCAGTTCCACCCTCTGCCATGGGCAGGAACAGTGAGCAAATCCTGATACAGCAGGGTGATGTCAAAGAGGTTTTCTTCCCCCTTTTCATCTGATGGGATAGAAAAGACTGAAATTGATGGAATCACAGAATCATTTAGGATGGAGAAGACCTCCAAGACTGAGTACAAACACTGATCCAGCCACCACTGACCCATATCCCCCAGTACCACATCCACATCTGTATGGTTTTAAATCCCTCCAGCAGTGGTGATTGCACCACTGGCCAAGGCAGCCTCTTCCAGGGCTTGAAAACTCTTTCTGTGACAAAATTCCTCCTGATGTCCAATGTAAACCTCTCCTAGCACAGCCTGAGGCATTCCCTCTGCTCCTGTCCCTGTTCCCTGGAGCACAGCCCTGGCTGTCCCCCCCTGGCTGTCCCCTCCTGTCAGGAGCTGTGCAGAGCCACAAGGGCCCCCTGAGCCTCCTTTGCTCCAGGCTGAGCCCCTGCCCTGCTCCCTCAGCCTCTCCTGGGGCTCCAGCCCCTCAATGCCCTTCTCAGTGTGGGTGGCCTAGAAGTGAGCACAGGAATTTGGGATTTTCCAGCCTCCTCCCCCAGCCCAGTGCAGGATAGAGCTCCCTGGTGCACCTCGGGCAAGCAGCAAAGCCACACGGAACTGCAGAGGCTGGTCAGGCTGACCAAGGAGAACAGTTGAGAAAAGGGAACCAGAAAACAGCAGAAAGGAAGGACAGCAGCCAAGGAGGCTGCAAAGAGCGGAAAATCCAAACAAAAACCAGTGTGGACGTGCTGAGAAGGCAACAAAGACGTGGGGAAAACACACAAAACCTCTGACAAAGACTGGGGAAAGTAGACATGGAAAGAAAAAGGGGGGATATGTGGGGCACAAGAGCTTTTGCTGGACAGAACAGTCAGGGGTTTAAAAACCAGAGGGAGAGGATGAAAACAGGGCAGAGACAAAGCCCTGGCTGCTGTTGGCACTGACTGAGCTGCACCTACAGGAGCAGGGGGTGATGTCCCTCTGCAGGCTCTGGGGAGGGGTCAGTGCCCAGGGGGATTTCAGTGCCCTCCTGAGTCTCTCAGGGGGATTTCAATGCCCTCCTGAGTCTCTCAGGGGGATTTCAATGCCCTCCTGAGTCTCCCAGGGGGATTTCAGTGCCCTCCTGAGTCTCTCAGGGGGATTTCAGTGCCCTCCTGAGTCTCCCAGGGGGATTTCAGTGCCCTCCTGAGTCTCATCCACTTGGGAGCAGATTTCACATGGGTGACACCACAGGGGACACCTGGCAGGTGCAGGGCAGGGGGTGCCACATCCCACCACAGGCATGGGGGAAGGTGCCCAGCACCAACCCAGGGATGTGCTCACGAAGAAGTGGAGGAGGGAAGGAGCAAAACCAGTCCTAACCCATGAGGGGTTAATTTTATCAGCAATAACTGGGTGAGAGATCAGCCCAAAGTGCAGCTTTAATCCATGGGGGAAATCCTGATCTTGTCTTAAATCTGTATTTTGGAGTTCAGGGCTCTTAGATAAGGGGGAAATGAATGTGATCATCTCCAAACCCAGAGAAATCCAATGTTCACCCAGACTGGAGCTGTTTGAACCCATCTCTGCCTGTGCTTGTGACACAGACACAATCCAGAGGATTCTTCTGAGATGGGGAAAAATTAACGATGTCTTTAAAAAATCAGGAGTCTGGGTTATAAAAAGAAGCCATTCCTATGTACCCAGGTTCTGTGGGTTTGTTCTGTAGGGACAGACAAATTAAAGGAGATATCAGGAAATTCTCAGGCTGAAGAAATGCCTCTGGGCAAAAAGTCTGCTATGAAAACCAGCCCAAATCTTATTTTAAATGCCAGTTTTAACACATGATCTCTTTATCCCCTTTTGTTTTCTTCCTTTTTGAATTCTACAAGATTTAGGGAAAAAAGAAAGAGTTTTATCCCTCTGGTACAGCCCCAGAGCAGATCTGGTTGCCCACCTGCAAACACCTCCTTTCACCAGGACACAGCTCTCCTAAACCAATGGAAACTCACAGGTGGCAAATCCTTGGATTTCTGTGGATAATTGGTGTCTAAAATAGCTGAGACCTGGAATTTTGCTCTAGTTGGGTTCCTAAGCTCAGTTATGGTGGCCAGAAACAAATCAAATACAGCAAAGCCACCTCACTGGAGAGATTTAAGGTTATGTTTCATTTTCATTTTATTTTAAATCCTTTATTTAAGTCCAGAAAGATCTTGTAGGAAGATTTATCTGAATTTCTTCCTGCCTGAATAAATCAGCCCCAGGTTTGGCTCTGGCTTGAGCCTCTTTCCAAAAATCTTGGGTTTATTTGGTCTCAGTACAGGAGGGGCTGTTGTGGTGTGGATCCTTTGGATTGAGTTTTGGGGTTTGAGGGTGGCTGGAGTGACACCAGCAGCCAAAAAATCCTGTTGGGTTTGATGGATCCTCAACCACACCAGTGATAAATGGCTCTGAGCAACCTCTCCCTCTAAACTGAGCTTCAGTGGTGAAACTTCCAAGGAACCAGCCTGGAAATGGAAGTCTCCAAGCACCCTGAGAGTTGTTGGGAGGCCTTTACTGGGTCTGTTCCATTTCCATCCAAATTTCCAGCCAGGCAGCAGCCTTTGGGATAGAATTCATTCTGGTGGCCCAATTAAAAAGTTTTGCCAAATCAGCAATAAGCTGGAGTGATTTCTCCATCTCCCTGTCCTAAATGTTTCCTGTTAAAGTCATTTCTTCCACGAGGGTGTTTAAGGAGCCCTTCTGGTGTTGTCTCTGTTTAATTGCTTGCTCACTCCTACAGTACTGCCTACTCTAATGACTCCAATCTAATTAAGAGGAGGAAAAAACAACATTCTACTGAAGGGTTAGTGAGACAAAGAGCCTCAGGAAGAAAAATGGGGATCTAATGGGGGGTAATTTGCTCATTAGCATTGTCCCTCCCCAAATTAACCTAAAGGGGAGGAGAATGAGAGAAAAGAGAGAGAAACACTGACAGAAAGAGAGCAGAGACATACTTAGAGAGACAAACTGATGTGCCAGAGTTTCAAAGACCAGAAAAAAAGATACCCCCCAAAAAATGATATATATAAATATATAAAAATTAAAAAGAAAAAAATCAGAAGATCCAAAATCTTGCTTGGAAAGCAGAGAAAGCACCAGAAAAGTCCAGAAGAACAACACCAATGCCACAGAAACCCCACTTGAGCCACGGCACAGAAAGCTGGTGGTTGGGCAGGAATTCCTGGCAGGGTTTTCTACCTTATAGGCAACACGAGCTGGGCATTTCTTCCCAAGGCCTAGAGGTGGGGACATGTGTCTCAGCATCTCATACATGTCTGTGTAACTGATGCGCCCGCTGGCACCACAGGGATGGAGGCAAAAGCACCAGGACACAGAAATCCCATCGGATTGAGGCGGGGAAAACCAGGGAAGGGGTGGGGGAAAAGGCAACACAATGGAGCAAATGAAAAGGGGGAGAGAGAGAGAAGGGAAAGCAGACAAGAAAACAGAGATCTGGTTAATCAGATTTCTCCGGGAAACAAAACCAAACTCAAGAGGTGGGGCAGGAGAAAGGAGGCTCCGCTTCCGTTGCTGTTTCGGCGCCCAACGTCTCCTCCTCCTGCAGGGGTGGCCCTGGGAATGATTGATGTCCCCTGGGAAGGACTGATGCCCCTGGGGAATGCTTGATGCCCCTGGGGAATGCTTGATGCCCCTGGGGAAGAAGGGGTGGCAGGGCTGGGTTGGGCTGGCTGTTGGTGGGTGGGGGATGAAGGCTCCCCCGTCACCCCCCAGAGCAGCCAGGTCCCCATGCCAGGGAGAGCTGGGGGGCAGAGTTATGGGACAGGGCTGGGGAACACAGCCCAGCTTTCCTGCCAGGAAGCAGCACTTTGGGCTTGGGTGATGGGACAAGGGAGAAGTCAAACGTGGGGGTTTTGCTGAGGGATGTACTGGGACTGCTCCCATTCCCAGCTGAGGCTGGGATTCTGCAAATCCCTGCTCCAGCAAAAGCAGAGCCCAGCCCTGGCAGGAAGTGGGAGGAAAACCTGCTCCTCCCTCACTTTTGGTGAGGTTTGTTTTTCACCAAGCCAGCCTCAACTGGGAATTGCAGAGGTTTGGGGAAAGTCCTTCAGAGCAGCCCATTGCTGAGGGCATCTCCCTTCAGCCCTCGATGGTGGTGGTGGATAAATCTTGGCCTGTAAAACAAGGGGAGCAAAACAGCAAGAAATTCCTGCTTCACCTTTTTTGTGCCTGTTGGAACTAGGAGCAGAACTGTGCCAATCTCCTTTTGTTTTCCCCATCTTAGGAGACCCAGGGATGTTATTAATAAAAGTTTAACCCCTGGAAAAGCTGGATAATGTCCTCATCTCTATACCAACAAAGAAAACCCAAGCACCCATTTAAACCCCCCTTTTCTGAGCAGGAACCTTCCCACCAGCCCAGTGCCCTGACACAGATCTCAGTTCCTATGTAAAGCTTTGATGGAGGAGGAGGAGAGAACTCACCCAGCCCAAAACATCTATTCCTGTCCCTGGTAACTGTGCAGATAAAATCCCACCCAGCTCTCCCAACCCAGAGCTGATTTGGAGGCTGCTGAGAAACACAAAATGGAAACTGGAGCCCATGTCCTCCCCTGGTTCCTTCCTGCTCCTGGGCTGGGGTGTGGGGTCTCCTCTTCCTCTGCAGAGCTTCTGAGCTCTTAATCCTCACTCAGGTGTGGGAAACACCTGGGCTGGAGTGGAGAGGAAAAGGAAGCTCTGGGCTTCTCCTTCATCCTCTGTTTTCCAAGAAATTCCCTGCCTGGAACTGGGTCCCCACTGATGCCCATCCCACGCTGACTTCTCAGCAAGATCTGTCCCAAATCCTCCACCTGGGCTCCCAAGCACGGGGAGCTCTCCCTGTGCCATGAGCAGGAGCTTTCCCTGGTGTCCATCACAGCTTAGAGACATCATTTAACCCCCAGGCCATCTCTGGCTGTGGCACCATGGAAAACTCATCCCTCATCCCTTATCTCTGCCCAGATCCAATGCTTTTCCAGCTCAGGAAGTTGATCACTCAACAATGCTACAAAGCCAAACCAAAGTTGCTGCTCCCTGGAAACCCTGGGATGCCATTTCTCTCTGGAATATATTGAAGTGCTGGGATAATTTTCCCCAGGACTTCCCAGCTGGAGCTGGCAGGATGGAAGCTGGAGGGTTCCCTGTCCCATAAAACTGCCTGTCCCCAGCCAGCTGGGGTGTGGGAGGAGACAGGGAAGGGATGCATGGAGGAAAAAGGAGGCAGTCAGTCAATCATTCCTTTTTTCAGGCAGGGCATTGGTTACGTTGCACTTTCTTTTCTCTACTGGTTGCATTGGCACTCGGGAGAGGGAAGAGGGGATAAAAAGAAACAGAACCAGGACTAGAGATGCTGGAGGGATCTCTGAAATTCCAAACCTTGTAGGCCACCCTATGAGGGCACTTCTTTCCTAAGCCCAGGGGTGGAGCAATTACACGTAACAAATTGTACATATCCTTATAATGAATGCGGCAACTGGAAAGGAAACACCAGAGGTTATGACAGCAAAATCCAACTGGAATCAGCTTTTCCACAGGCAAACAGGGAAGAATCAGCTTTTCCACAGGCAAACAGGGAAAAATCAGCTTTTCCACAGGCGAACAGGACAAGTTGAAAGGGCAAAACAAGCTGAAAAGAAAGGTTAGTCTGGAAAGGAAGGAGCCACTTTAACACACAGAGAGAACTTCCAGCTGCTCACTCAACCTTATAGCTTTGGATTTTCCTCTGGGAAACCTTCAGTGCTGTGTGGAAGGCTTCCCAAACATTTGGTTTCCTTTCCCACTCATGTTTTAATTCTCTGTCATGAGCATCAGCCTCCAGACTCTGCTGCCCAACACCCAGAGCCTGCAGGCCACAAAGAGCCTCTTTAATGGATTATACCTGGGATTTTATTACAGCTCATCAATGGATTATTGCCAGGATTCAAATTAGCTGCTTTAAAACCTTGGGAATCTTTCCCTGCCACTGTCACCTCCTACATAACCCCAGCAGGGCCATTCCTGGGCAATGAGGAATTTGCTGGGAGAGCAGAAAGTGTCACCTCCAGAGCCTGTTGGGCACTGGCACTGGGAAAATCCCAGTTTCAATACCAGAAGGAGAAACCAGACACCTCCTGGGAGCTTTATGGTCAGTCTCATTAACTTCCCACAATAATTTCAGCTAATTAAACAGCAGGACTATATTTCTCAAACTTTTTTGTATAACCAACCCCTAGGTGGGAAGAGCCAAATTTCAAAACTACCTCTGGAGAAAACTGGAATGATTTGGTGCCTTAGGGTAGAAATGGGGCTGTGTCTTCTCTCCCCATCTGTCAGAGCTGGGGCAGTTCTCTGCTGTCCTTGGGGCAGTTTTTTCTTGATCTCTCCCCCAGCCAACCCTCCCTGCAGGAGATCTCTGCTGTCCATGGCCACTGAGTGTCCCTGCAGGGCTGATCCAATTCCAGCATCCCATGGGGAGATGCTGCATTGCCCAGGGCAGGAGCCAAGCATTCCTACCTGGATCCAATGTGAGCCTGGCACAGCCCAGCAGCCTTTGCCCAGTGCATTGCCAGAGGAGCAGCTTCTGCTGCCCTGCATGGCCAGAGGGAGCCCAGGCCCATCTGCAGCAGCCCTGGAGCTGCAGAGGAAAACTCCCCCCTTGTGCAGGATCCCTGCTCCAGCAGAGCCACAGCTGGCACTGCAGGAGGGCTGAGCCCCCATGGGATGGGGCTGTGCCACCCCCTGACACACAGGGGGCAGGTTGGATTCTGACTCTGCCAGTGGATTTTTTTTTGTTTGTTTGCACTATTACATTTGTATTTTTAAATTTTCCTAGTAGAGAACTGTTATTCCTATTCCCATATCTTTGTCTGAGAGCCCCTTAATTTCAAAATCATAATAATTCAGAGTGAGGGAGTTTACATTTTCCATTTCAAGGGAGGCTCTTGCCTTCCTTAGCAGACACCTGGCTTTTCAAACCAAGTCATGTGGCCTCCCTGTATTTCTTTTGGTGCATTCTCTTAAGAAGGCTGGAATGTTTTGGGAGAACTCCTTCAGTGTTGCTGCTTTTTGGGATGTGAAGAATTAAGGTCTATTCAAAGCTTTCCCCAGTCGAGTCCAAACTATGAATTTGAGAGCAAATGGAACCAGGCAAGTCTTGGCTCCAGGCCTAATTGTGGGTCTAAAGAGGTTTGGGTTTACCTGAGGCACCAAGTTTACACTTTCCTTACAATTTTAGAAGGATTCTGGAAAATCAGGATGTGGAAAACATGGCTGAACACTTCCATTGGCTCTCTAAGAGTCTGTGGAAGGCTGGAAAACCAACAGATGCTTTGCATTGGGAGATCATGGCACAAAATCTGGACAAACAGGGATCCTTTTCCAGATTCAGAGAATTCCACAATGATTTGGGGTGGAAGGACCTTAAAGTCCATCCCATCCCACCCCCTCCCATGGGCAGGGACACCTTCCACCCTCCAGCCTGGCCTTGGACGCTTCCAGGGATGGAGCAGCACCACCTTTTCTTTAAATCTGATTTTCCTCAGCATCCCATTATCCCAGAGAGCCCAGAGCTCCTTTGGGAACACATGCAGCTCCTCCTGAGGGAACAGCTGATGGCAATGGGATGGCCAGAGCAACATCACCACTGTTTCCACAGGGTGGGCACTGGGAGAGGAACAAAACAGAGAAAGACCTCACTTTTTATATGTTGAACAAATAAAAGCTCCTAGAAATCCAATTTTGTGTTCTTTCCCTGTTCATCCTTAAATCCTGTTTTCCTTACTTTCTTAATTAACTCCCAACAAACCACCCTGTGCTCCCCATTTCTCTCAGTCTCTCTTTTTCTTTTTGTGAGCTCAAGGCTTTTTGTCACCCCTAAATCCAGCAGTTTTCCCCAGTAACAGTTTCCCAGTTACTCACCCCTAGGGAAGGTGGCACAGCTGGAATAACAGCTCCTAACTGCCTTTTTTAACTTCAATTTCAACAGTTTTTTCCTAGAAAAGTTTCCAGGGAGTTGGATTTTGTAACAAAACCAATGGTAATATCAGAAATAGGGGTAAAATACTCATTAGGTTGTGTTTAAAATATTATCTATATAATGAAATATAACAATTGTGGAGTATCTTTCATTTGGGGTCTCAAGCTAAGAAAAATGGATAAACACTGTAATTCCATTTTCCTTGGGATAATCAAGGAAGAGACCTTGGGAGAAGTGATCAGCTAGTGACCACATTCAGCTCAAATCATGGAATAATCCAATCATTAAATCAGGGGTTGGGTTGAAAAAGACCTGGAAGATCAGAAAGGTCTTAAATCAAAATGCTTGAAAGCTCAGTTCTTGCTTAAAGTGTGAAAAGATTTCAGATTTGTGGAGATTTTAGTCCCACTTCTGAAAATGTGATTTCAGAGGAACTGTTCACACTCAATAACTTCCCACCAGGGTGGAAAGGGAACAGGGTTAGAGAAAAAAAAATAAAAACAAAAATCCAGAATTAGCATCTTAGTATGTGACATTTTCAGCATTAGCAGCTCTGGGAGTGGAAGGTTTGGCCCCTGAGTGACTCAGAGTTAATAGAGCGAGAAATCTTCCTGTAAACTCAGTGCTGGTGCCTCTTCTGGGTGGAAAGTTCCCGAATAAAAACATTAAAAATCCACATTGATCCCATTTTCCCCCTTGCAGGTGTGTTCCTCCTCCCAGGGATGTAGAGCCAAGGCTGTTTTGCTAAGGGGCAACCCCAAGTTTTCAGCCTCATTGAGATTTTCCAGTGGGAAGAGACAGGATTGGATTGGAAAAAGGGAAAAAGAAAAGCTATTTGTGCCTGCTGAATCCCCACAAAGGATTTGCTGTGTCACAGACCTTGTGGGGATGAAAATCTGCCTGGAGATTACAAGCTGGTAGTAAGTGTGGAGTAAATATTCAGGTTGGTAGTAGGGGTGGCTTGGAGCAGTTCAAATCCCCCACAGTTCAGAGAAATGCAGGTTTTTGGAACAAGTTTCCATTTCAAGTTAGGCTAAATCATTTGAAGTGAGATTTGAAAGCAGTTTAATTGCATCCTAGCAGGGAGTTTGAGATGTTGATTATCCAAACACTCCCTGCCTCTGTCTCTGCTGAAGGGAAACAAAAAAGAAAGGAAAGATTGGAAGAGCTGGGGGCATCACAAATCCAGAGGAGATTCATGGCACAGGAACTCACAGGGAGGAAAAAAGGGATCCAAAATTAGCAGAGCTTTAAATGAAAAAAGAGTCTCCCAACAGGCAAATTCCCAAATAGAATATCAAGGAATTATTGGGACCTGGGACAGAGCATCCAGAAATGAGAATAACCCCATCACCAGGGCTGTGGTGCAGCAATACAGAAAAGCAATTTATTAAATCAGTCCTGCTCTAGAAGTGGTCATTGGGCAGGGCCATTCCCTCAATTTAAGAAAAAATTCCTTAATTTGGGGTCTGTGCTACTGCTCCACTGCCTAAGCCCAGTGTCCAGGTTCCCTGTGTCTTGGAAAAAAAAATTAAATTTAAAAATAAACCCCTAAAATAAACATTGTTCAGTGTGAGAAAACCATCCCCTCCTTTAACCCACTCATAAATCAGGAATATTTTATCAGAGAATTAAATACAAGAATTAAACACTTCCAAACTTTGACCCATTTCATTTTATCCTGATCTTTTTGCACATCTTAGAACCTCAACTGCAACTCCAGAGCTAAATATTACTCAAAAGGCCAAAATTCCCACGTAGAGTTTGATGTCACTACAAGGAGGCTTCCAGGAGGAAAATGTTGTGTTTAATGAGGAAAGGCTGTTTGAAAAAATCCCATTTTTCCAGGGAACCACCCTAAGGCAGAGGAGCATCACATCATTCCCTGTGGGAGCGGGTGGGAGGATGGAGCAGAGCCCGCAGGACCTGACTCAGATGCAGCCTGAGGTGTCTGCACAGCGTTGGGGAAACCACCAAGGTGGATCTCAATTAAAACAACGCTGCACAAATGAGGTGTGAACCTCTCCCACTCCCTCAAGTGCTGCCAACAGCCAGAGATTTGCGGATTTGCGTCTCCGGATGGGATGCAGGAACCAAAAGCTCCTTTTGGAAGTGCTAAATCGCTTTTCTCCAGGGCCATTTAGGCGGGCTCAGTGGAACTGAGGCTTTCATCTGTTCATTTTTGGCTGGGCTTTGCTTTCAGGGCTTGGCTGTGCGGGAAGGAAACGCCCTTGCAGTGACACCAGGTCTGTTCCTGTCCAGCGCTCAGGGAATTGCAGCATTTAACAGAGGTGATGCCCCAAATCCTGGGGCTGCTAAACGGGCTCTGAGCCTGCTCAGGTGCAGCATTACAGCTGCAGTGTCCCTCTGTCCCTATCCTGCTGTCCTGTCCCTCTGTCCCAGCCCGGTGTCCCTCTGTCCTTATCCTGGTGTCCTTCTGTCCCAGCCCGGTGTCCCCTCTGTCCCTACCCCAGTGTCCCCTCTGTCCGTATCCTGGTGTCCCCCTTGTCCCTGTCCTGCTGTCCCCCTGTCCCTGTCCCGCTGTCCCCCTGTCCCTGCCCTGCTGTCCCCCTTGTCCCTGTCCCGCTGTCCCCCTGTCCCTATCCCGCTGTCCCCCTGTCCCTGTCCCGCTGTCCCCCTGTCCCTGTCCCCCTGTCCCTCCCTGCTGTCCCCCTGTCCCGCCCTGCTGTCCCCCTGTCCCGCCCTGCTGTCCCTCTGTCCCCGCACGTACCAGGCTGCCGGGTCGTACTCCGCCCACACCCGCACGAACTCGTCCAGGTGGTGCGGGCCGAGGATGGAGGAGTCCCGGGTCAGGTACTCGAAATTGTCCATGATCACTGCCACGAACAGGTTCAGCATCTGCGGGGATGGGAGGGGAGGGAGAGGGAGAGGAGAAGGGAGAGGGTGGCAGAGAAGGGAAGGGAGAAAGGAGAAGGGAAAGGGGAAGGGAGAAAAAGGAAAAGGAGAAAGGAAGGGAAAAGAGACAGAAGGGAACAGAGAAGGGAAGGGAGAAAGGAGAAGGGAAAAGATAAAGGAGGAAGAGAGGAAAAGGGAAAGGAGAAAGGAAGGGAAAGGAGAAGGGATGGGAAAGAGGAAAATGGAAAGAAGGGAAATGGGAGCAGAGAAGGGAAGGGAGAAAGGAGAAGGGAAAGGAGAAAGGGGAAGGGAGAAAAAGGGAAAGGAGAAGAGCAGGGAAAGGAGAAAGGAGGAGGGAGAAAAAGGGAAAGGAGAAAGGAAGGAAAAGGAGAAGAGAGAGGGGAACAGAGAAGGGAGCAGAGAAAAGAGAAAAGAAATGAGAGGGGGAAGAGAGGAAAGGGGACAGGAGAAAGGAAGGGGGAAAGGAGAAGAGAGGGAAACAGAAGGAAAGGGAGAAAGGAGAAGAGAGAAGGGAGAAAGAAGGGAAAGGAGACAGGGGAAGGGAGAAAAGGGGAAAGGAGAAGGAAAATGGGAAGGGAAGAAAAATGGGAAGGGAAGAAGGGAAGGGAAGGAAAATGGGAAGGAAAGAATGGAAGGTAAAGAGGAAGGGGAATGGGAATGAAAAGAGAATTTTAAAAATTAAAACCTGGTAGAGAAGCATGCATGATTCCCATAACTGGATGTTCCTACAAGGAGCAGCCTCACCCCAGGGAGAAACTCTTGGGACAGAGTCCTGGATCCCTGGGAATGCCACTGCTGTCTCCTCCTCTCCTGCCCATTTTTCCACATCCCCATCACTGGTGCTGCCTCCAGCTTGATCCAGCCCAGATCCCATCTCAGCACATCCTGGGGTTCTGTGAAATGAGTGTGATGCTCCCAGGAAAGGCTGCTGAACTCAGACATTGTCCCACTGCCCTTCTTCAAAGGGATGGTATAAATCAAGACAAACCCCATGAATGCTTAATTCCAAATTTAGACCCCCTGTGAGAAGAAAGATAAACCCTTTCCCTTTAATGACTAAATGATCTCTTTGGGGATTTTATCAGCAGGATGATAAATGGGGTTTAGCAAAGCTGGCCTGGTGGCGTCTATAATTAGGGATGAGGAGGAGGCACAGGGGTGGGGAGGGGAAGGTTTGGGGGATCCGCAGCAGCACCCCCACTTTGGGGGCTCAGGACTGACTTACCAGGAAGGAGCAGAGGAAAATGAACGACACAAAGTAGAAATAGGCAAAATCACTGCCACATTCCTTTTTGGTGAGGCCAGAGAGGGGGTCACAGGCTCTGTTGCTCAAGCAGGACAACATGATCTCGTGCCAGGCTTCCCCTGTAGCGCTCCTGCAACACCAGAGCAGAGGCTGAGTTTATCCACCCCTCCCCATGACAGCCACCCTGCAATAATACTGCACCCAATTAACCAAATTAATGAGGGGGAAGGTTGTGCCCAGGAGCACAGACTGTATTTACACTGGGAGTTGGAACAACTCATGAAAAAGAAAGGAGAAGGAACATTTCCCTCTGTTACAGGGGGGTAAAAGAAACCAGACAGGCTCAGGTAGGCTAAAAGCTTTATTGCTTCTGTGGAGAATATAACCAGATTGATTTAAACAAATCTGAGTAAACAGAGTTTAGATTGTTGCCTTTTGAACCTAGTGCTGGCTCTAAAGCCAGTGCAGAGGGTGGGAAATGAAACCAGGCTTTTCCACTGGAATCTCTTATTTCCTTTGTCAGGCAGATAAATTCCAGCATGGGCTGGTTGGAATTGGGTCTCTTTTTCATCACAGTCTCCTGGGTGTCCTTCACCTGTTCCCTCCTCCCTCTCTGACTTCTACTATTGAGAGAAAAGAGCCAAAAGGAAAAACTTTGGAGTCCCAGTGAGTTTGTCCTCAAAATAAAGCAGTTCCTGTGAAGTGCACCCTTGGTTTGGAAGTCAGGGATTCTCCACGTGCACTTACTCTGAATTCCTGCTTCACTCAATTTTTTGCTTCCCAAAATTCCTTTTCTTTCCCTCAACATTGAGGAAAAAAAAGGAATTTTACCTTTTATCCCCACAGCCAGCACACAAACTTTGGGAAAACTCAGTGCTCCATCTAACCTGGAATAATTTCTAGGCTACTCTGAATTACAGCAGATTTCCCCCCTAGTGCCTGGGTGCTAAAGGCCCATCCCCTTTGTGAGGAATTGTGCAGAAACCAGCTCCCATTCCAATCCTGCTGCCTCTGCTCCTCACTGCCACTGCTCTGGGGCTGGTGAGGGAACACAAGGCTGAATAATGACCCAGTTTATTAAAACTCAGAGTTCTGAGCCCAGGGATTATTCTCAGCTAGAGAGGGCTAATTCCATTTCTGTCTGTCTTCACAGAAACTCCCAGGCAAGGATCCAGCACCAAGCACCACAGAATCCTTGGAGCTGAGCCTTGGCAGGGCTGGGAGGGGCTGCTGTTCACTGGGGGTCTCCACAGCTGGATGAGGAACATCTCCCCCAAAGTGCCCTGAGCTGGAGCAGGGCCTGCTTTGCCAGGTCTTGAAATGAAAATCTGTTCTTTAATTGATTTGTTTTCAACTTGAAAATACTTCATTTGCAGGCAGCATGAAGCCAGAGGGAAACACCTGAATTCTGAAGCAGAGGTGAGGTTGGTGTAGGAGCTGGTGACCTCTGGTTATGCAAAAAATTGCCAGTTAAAGAAATTCTCACTAAAAAAGTTTCAGGAGAGGAAACCCATCAATCAGTTGAACCAATGGGGTTCTGATCTGTGTTCAGCTTCTGCCTGAGTTGCCATGGGGGGTCCCAGCTCTGGGTTTCACTTTGTGGAGGGGCTGAATCCAATCTGCTGAGGAGAAGGAAGCAGGAATGGATAATTTACACAAACCCCTATTTTAAAGGATGCCCAAGTCTGAGCAGCTCAACTGGCACCTGCACAAAGATATTTTTGCTGTTCCCACACAAAGCAGAGGGTGTTTTATCCTCTCCTTACCTGAACAGGAGCATCAGGGCTTGGAGGAAGGTGCGGAAGTTGTTGTGCCGATTAATGGAGGTCTCATCATCTAAGGCAATGTTCCCAAAAACCTGCCAGGAAAACAGAAGGGATTCAGCCAGCACATCAAGTGGAGCTGGAAAATAAGGCAGGGAAAAAATTTGTCCTCGTTTAAAGGCTCTCAAAAGCTGGAATAATTTCTGTGCTGAAAAGGGAGATAAAAATGTGTAGTGGAGATCAAATACAAGATTAATGTGCTTTGTATTCACAAAGGTCCTTTCCAGCAGTTCAGCTCCATCCCAGGCCAAGAAAAGTTTATTATTTCTTCTCAGGAAGGTGCAGTGCCTGGGCTGCTCCCTCCTCTCAGCCTCTTGATGTGTCCATAGGCAGGGGAAGGGTCTTTTCCTGTGGGATTCACAGATGTCCAGTGCTGAAATGCGATCCAGGCTCATGCCCACAGCTGGCTTGTCCAGCTCACTGGGGACACTTAACATAAAAACTGACAATTAAAGTAGAAAAAGAGGTCTTTTTTTTCATTTCTAATTTACCTGACACCAGACAAGAAGAGATTTTGGCTCACCCCAAATCAGTGCTGCTCCTGCTGTGGATGCAACAACCAACTGCACCCTGAACAAACCCAGGCTGCCTATAGGCAGAATGAAAGAATGAAATATTTTACCTGCATGCCAATAATGGCATAGATGAAGAAGAGCATTGCGATGAGGAGACACACATAAGGCAAAGCCTGTGGGAAAGGAAAAAGGGGGATTAATGACAGCAAATGCAAACATTGAATTCCCTGGCAGGACTGAGTTTTGTGGCATTTTCCCTGGTCTTAGGTTAGAAATGGGGCTGTGTATCCTATCCCCATCTGTCAGAGCTGGGGCAGTTCTCTGCTGTCCATGGGCAGTTTTTTCTTGATCTCTCCCCCAGCCAATCCTCCCTGCAGGAGATCTCTGCTGTCCATGGCCACTGAGTGTCCCTGCAGGGCTGATCCAATTCCAGCATCCCATGGGGAGATGCTGCATTGCCCAGGGCAGGAGCCAAGCATTCCTACCTGGATCCAATGTGAGCCTGGCACAGCCCAGCAGCCTTTGCCCAGTGCATTGCCAGAGGAGCAGCTTCTGCTGCCCTGCATGGCCAGAGGGAGCCCAGGCCCATCTCCAGCAGCCCTGGAGCTGCAGAGGAAAACTCCCCCCTTGTGCAGGATCCCTGCTCCAGCAGAGCCACAGCTGGCACTGCAGGAGGGCTGAGCCCCCATGGGATGGGGCTGTGCCACCCCCTGACACACAGGGGGCAGGTTGGATTCTGACTCTGCCAGTGTTGGGTTTTTTGTTTGTTTGTTTTGGTTTTTTTGCACTATTGTATTTGTAATTTTAATTTTCCTAGTAGAGAACTGTTATTCCTATTCCCATATCTTTGCCTGAGAGCCCCTTAATTTCAAAATCATAACAATTTGAAGGGAGGGGGTTTACATTTTCCATTTCAAGGGAGGCTCCTGACTTCCTTTGCAGACACCTGTCTGTTCAAACCAAGACAGTCCTTCAGGTGTAGGAACTGGGAAGAGGATATGAAGAATTCTGGCAGTCCTTAGGAGACAAACCCCTGGAGCCAGGTGTTCATGGATCACACAACAGGCAGGGCTTTCCAAGCCCTTCTCTCTCTGTATCCTTGGAAGCAGCAAGCAGGGAAAACACAATCCGAGGCTCAGCAGTGAACATTTTGTGTGCATCACTGTATGAACATTAATTGTTAATGACCTTGCTGGAAATTCAAGTCTGAGAAAAAAAAACAAAAAAATTTCCATCCCAGAAATGAGTTCCTGCTCTGAAACAGGCCCAGTTTGGGATCCCAGGAGGACAAAAAGATTCTGAGTTTTAGCAAGAAATCAGTGAAGGCTGCAATGTAATTATGTCACCCAGGCTGAGAGTGACAGCTATTTCCCACTTGGACTAAATGAATGGGTAATTAATGCCTCTTAATTAGTAATAACCCAAAAATTGAGAAGTCTTGCCCTCAGGCCAGCCCCTGTGGTGCCTGGGGCAGGAGTTCTGCAGGCCAAGGGAGCAGGAATTGTAGAATAATGAAATAGCCCGAGTTGGAAAAGACACCCAAGGATCGAGTGCCACTCCTGTCCCTGCCCAGACCCCCAGCAACCCCAGCCTGGGCATCCCTGGCAGCGCTGCCCAAAGGCTCCTGGAGCTCTGGCAGCCTCGGGGCCGTGCCCATTCCCTGGGGAGCCTGGGCAGTGCCAGCACCCTCTGGGGGAAGAACCTTGCCCTGAGCTCAGCCTGAGCTGCCCTGGCCCAGCCCCAGCCGTGCCCTGGCTCCTGGCCCTGGCCCAGAGCAGAGATGGGAGCTGCCCCTCGGGAGGAGCTGCAGCCCCGGGGAGCTCTGCCCTCACTCTGCTCCAGCTGAACAACCCCAGAGCCCTCAGCTGCTCCTCACAGCCCCTCCAGACCCTTCCCCATCCCTGTGCCCCTCCTTTGGACACTCTCTCACAGATTTTTCTTACTGAGGTGCCCAAAGCTCCCCCAGCACTGGAGGTGAGGCCCAGCCCAGAGCAGAGCGGGACAATCCCATCCCTGGCTTGGCCACCATCGCTGGGCCTGAGGCACCCTGGGACAAAACCTGGAGGAAAGCTGGGAAAAAGGGACTGCTGAACACCTCTGCTGGACACCTCTGCATGAGGGACATGGCCTGAGAGCTCTGAGCTGGGGGCACAGACAGACAAACAGCTCCTCATGAAGCCCAGGAATGTCCTGGCTGCGTGTCAGGGCCAAACTCTGGACACAGGATATGAGAAGAGTTGAGATTGTGCTGGAAAAGGCTGAGCCCATTTTCCCAACATCCATCCACTCTCTCCTGACTGGGAACACCTCACACCTGCAGACCCCACAGAGGGGCTGGGGCTCTGCACCCACAGCTCCCAGCCCATGAGTACTGGTGTGTCAGAGCCCAGGATCACTGCCACAAATCCTGGCTGCTCATGCTGTGTTCTCCTCCCTGCTCTGCAGAACCTGAGCAAGCCCCAGGACCAGAGTTAAAGCATCAAACAATGAAAAATGGGCTGCAAACCAGCTGAGAGCTGTAAAAATAACCAGATTTGGGGCATGTGGACTTTTCTAGATCTAGAAAACAGCTAATTCAATATGCTGGGGATTGGCAGGAGGAAGGGCAGAGGTAAAGGAAACAAGGCAAAGCAACTGCCTCAATTTCACAACAAAACCTCAACAAAACCTCATTATTTTAATCCTCCAATCATCAAACCCGGGCCTGTGGCTCTACAGCTTCACAGTTTGTGTTACCAAAGCTCCAGGGGCTGGGTTTCACCTCTGTCAGATCCCACCACACCCAATTCCTGGGGCAGGTAATTTAACCTTACACTCACTGCAGGTGAAAAACAAGGCACTCATCAGTCAGGCCACTGCTTCTTTATGCAAATTCCTGAGCATCCAGACTTTGTCAGAGGGATTTTGGGGTAGTTTCAAGGGCAACCTGACTGTTGAACACTTGCTGGAATCTGCATGAGCAAGCAGCCCTTCAGCCTCATCCTCCACAATGCAGCCTTCAGGGGATGGTCAGTGCTAACCTGCTCTCTTTTCTGTAGAAAATTAATATTCCTGCGGCTGGGCAGTGCTCAACAGCTCATTTTTAGCAGAATTAATATTCCTAGGAATGGTCAGTGTGAGCCAGTTCCCTTTCAGTAGAATTAATATCCCTTGTTTTGCGAACCAGTTGAATTAACAATTAATATTCTTGGTGCTAACCAGTTTGATTTTCTGCAGAATTAATATTCCTGTGGCTGGGCAGTGATCACCAGCTCATTATTAGCAGAATTAATATTCCTAGGAATGGTCAGTGCAAACCAGTTCACTTTCAGCAGAATTAATATCCCTTGTTATGCCAACCAGTTGAATTAACAATTAATATTCTTGGTGCTAACCAGTTTGATTTTCTGCAGAATTAATATTCCTGTGGTTGAGCAGTGCTCACCAATCCTCTTTCCTGAAGAATTCCTGAATTCCGAATTCCTGTAATCGCTCTGTAGAGGTGCAGAGAGGCCGTTCCAAGACCAGGGAAGCTCTTGGATCCTCACTGGAAGATGCTCCACGTGCACCAAGCACGACCCTCTCCCCAGAACCTCTCCCCACACGGCCAAGGCTCACCTTGAAGGACTGCACGAATGTCCAGAGCAGGATGCGGATGGTGTAGCCCTGGCGGAGGAGCTTGATGAGCCTGGCTGCCCGGAAGAGCCGCAGGAAGCTGAGGTTGATGAAGTTGTCCTGTGGAAAGTAAAGGTTTTGTGTCCTTCAGAAACGACCGCGATCCGAAACCACAGCCCGCAAAAAAGAAATTAAAATTACCAGCTTCACGATCTAAGCAGCAAATCGGCCACCAGAAAACCTTCCAAAAGAAACATTCGTCAGTGCAGATCACTCCACATGCAGCAAGAATGAGAAAACCCCTCTCCACAAGAGCCCTCCCCTCTGCTACTGGCTCAATGAGAGAAAAGGAAAAGGCCCTGTCACGCTGTCCTTGGAGGGCTGATTTGCTTAGAGCAAGGCAGATTTTCTCCCCCTCAAGACTCAGGGAGAGGGGGATGGTGCCAGATTTTCATTTTGAAAAGGAATGAGGTTGGCTGAAAGTCTTGGTCAGCTCAGTTTTGACAGGGAATTGAACTTAAGCCAAGACACTGGCAAGGGACAAAGAAAGGCACTGTCCAGTGAAGATTCAAACATCCTTGGAAGAATGAGGATGTTTTCCAACCTGGAGGTTTCCAGTGTTTGTACAGCATGGAACTGGACAGGTTTGCCAAGGAGAAACGGCACCAGAAGATTGTTTGGAAGATGGATCAAGGGCAGCGAGTCAATAGGGGAGGTGGAGCTTTCACCAGCAGGAAGATGCCTTAGGAACCTGCTGGTTTTCCAAATTCTCGTTAAATGTGTCTGCACAAGTGGATCAAAGAACTGCTGGAGGCAGGTTCTGATTTTGTTTTCTAGGATTCTCCCCACCCCTCACCCCATTTTTTTTTTCTTTCCTTCGGGGAAAAGAGGATTCTTGCCCCAATGAGCTAATCTAGAGAGGGTTCTTTCCAAAACAAAACATGCAAAAGCCAGATCCCTCTTGCCCTCCTATTTTAAGGAGATGAAAAAATATTCCCTGTTTCCATAATTCACTTTTTTGTGGCTCTCTGATCACAGCCACTTATTTGACTGAGTGAGCTAAAGAGAGAAAATATCCCACTTTAAACTATTGAGCAGTGAAGCAGCAAATATAATCATAAGGAGCTCTGCTTGGTAAAGATGAGCAAAAATTTCCCTTGGATTATTGTTTTACCAGAAGTCACTTTGAACTGACCCACATTTCTTGCTCATTTGGCTACAGAGCTCATGCTGAAATTGGGGGGCTTGTTGGATCTATGGATTCTTTCAATGCCAGCTCAGTTTTGGGGCCATTAGCATTGCATTCCACCAATCCCATCAAAGAGTTCCAGAACTCAAGTCTCAAGCATGCACTCGGTTTCTCTCAGGTTAAAAACACAAGCAGCTCAAGAGTTAGGCACAGACCGAAAATCAGACTCGATCTTCAAATAAAGAGAAAAGAGAAAAGCACAGGAATGTTCAATGAAGGAGCAGACAACACTGAGCTCATTCAAGCCAGCAACAGAAGCCATCTCTGGCAGGCAAAGCACGAGCGAGGATTCCCCTGGGTTGGGCAGTACAACAGGCACTGAAAATGTCCAGTTTGTCCCAGCATCAGCACCAGATTTGTTTTCACAGCGCTTACCTTCCCTTCACAACAGTCCAGCTGCACTCACCTGAGCAGGGCAGGGCCAGGGAGGGGCCCTGGGGCAGAGCTGGGGCCCAGCTGGGTAATGGGGACCATCACTAATGGGGTTCTTCTTCCCACTGTGAGCCGGGCCCAGGGCAGGGCAGAGGTTTAACCATGAGCCCTTTTAATCAGGAATATCTCCCCACCAGTGGGAACTAGATCAGCCCTCATGTGTAATGCTGGCAGCACTTAGGCCTGAAAGTCTGATTTTAATTTCAGAGCAATGCTCAAGCCAGATCTTTGCTGTGCACAATCCTTAGGCTCCAAGGAGGAGCAGGGGCACAGGATCCATCTCTGCAGGATCCTGTAGGATCTCCCTCCTCTCACATAACTGCAGCCCAGCAGCAGGAACATTCTCCTGCTCAGGCTTTGCTAAAACCTCATCAGCCCAGCTGCCAGGATGTTTAAAACCTGCTTTGGGCTGGGCTCCTTGCAATCTGAGCTACCCCAGTGCTACCATGGAAAAAGGATAGAAATGTGAAAAGGGTTCAAGACTGTGCAGTTATGTCTGTGATCCCCTCATTCCCTGGGATTCAGATGGACAAACAGTCCATAGATTTCTTTTTTCCCCCCACATTCCCTATTTAACTCTGGCATTGACACTTCCTAAAGAGCAGTGAAAGCCTTGGCTCCATGTGGAGCCACTCCCAACCCAGGAAAATCCCCCTCCCACCACCCTGGGATGTTGGAAGGGCCGTTCTCAGCACTGCCCGGAGAGAGAGGCCAGTTCCCCACACTGCTGGGGGCTGCAGGGGCTCCACGTGTGTGTGTGGCACCCTCAGCACCCCACAGGCCAAACCCATCCTCCCACACCTCAACTCTCCAGGCAGCAATTGGGATGGCATGCAGCCAAAGGGGAAACTCCACTTTGCTGTATTTCTCAGGTAAAACAGTTTTTGGCATCAATTCTTCTCCCACTGAGCCACCTCTGTGCCATGCACATATCTGATGTCTGGGTTATCAAAGTCATCTTTTCCTGGTTGGTTTTTTTTGCTTTCCTGTTGCACAGATGCTCACAGTGCTCACAACAGGCACCAGAGCTTTAGGATTTTATCACCCATCTGAGAAATAATAAATTAGGTTTGGAAAATCATTTCCCCCTGGCCTGACACTGTTTTCCTGAAAAAGGAAAGGCTGGCACTGAAGGGAGCCTGGGGGTCTGGGCATGGCCAGGCACTGCCACCATTTCCCACAACAGGAGATGGGCCATGCATCCCTGAAGAAAACTGGGGAGAGTGGGAAACAAGGAGAATAAACACCACTGATAAAGAGCTGCCCTTGAAGGCTGCCCCACCATGGGAGCCTGCTCTGTTACCCTTTCTTAGGTTGTTTTCATAGAATCCCAGAATGGTTTGGGTTGGAAGAGACCTTAAATTCCATCCAGTGCCAGCCCTGCCATGGCAGGGACACCTCCCACTGTCCCAGGCTGCTCCCAGCCCTGTCCAGCCTGGCCTTGGGCACTGCCAGGGATCCAGGGGCAGCCCCAGCTGCTCTGGGCACCCTGTGCCAGGGCCTGCCCACCCTGCCAGGGAACAATTCCCAATTCCCAATATCCCATCCAGCCCTGCCCTCTGGCAGTGGGAGCCATTCCCTGGGTCCTGTCCCTCCATCCCTTGTCCCCAGTCCCTCTCCAGCTCTCCTGGAGCCTCTTTAGGGGCTCTGAGCTCTCCCTGGAGCTTCTCCTCTCCCAGCCTGGCTCCAGAGCTTCCTCCAGCCCTTGGAGCAGCTCCATGACCTCCTCTGCACTCCAGGATCTCCATGTCCTGCTTCTTTTGGGAGCTCCAGAGTATTCCATGCTGAAAATCAGGAAAGCCACAAAGAGCAGGGCACAGGCACTGCCTGGATCTGTGTCCCAGTGCCCTCAGCAGTGGAGTGGTTTCCTGCCCAGCACAGGAGCTGCTCCCTCTGTCCACAGGGATGCAGAAGGAGCAGCAGGAAGAGGCAGCTGACCAAGCAAGAATGGGCTCACTCAGGAAGCTTTGGGACTTCTCTTCATCTGGCATCAACAAGAATCACGTTATTAATAAATTAATTAAGGAATTACTGATAAGGAAGTGGCTGAGTTCCCATGGTACTGTCCGTGGTATTGCCAGCACTGAAGTTTTCCTGAATGTTGCACAGTGTCTTGGCTTCATCTGGAGCTTGGGGAATCCACTGCTGATTTTAAGAGGCTGAAGATTTTTGCAACCCTTGTCTGTGTCTCGAGGACTGTGCCTTTGGAGGGACTTCCTATCAGTCCTTCCATCCTGAGTCAGGAATGCTGGAACAATTATTTTGTGTGTGATGCCCAGAACTTGACAGAATCACAGAATGTCCTGAGCAGGAAGGGACCACCAGGATCATCAATCCAGCCCCTGTCCCTGCCCAGCCCCTGTCCCAGCAACCCCAGCCTGGGCATCCCTGGCAGCGCTGCCCAAAGGCTCCTGGAGCTCTGGCAGCCTCGGGGCCGTGCCCATTCCCTGGGGAGCCTGGGCAGTGCCAGCACCCTCTGGGGGAAGAACCTTGCCCTGAGCTCAGCCTGAGCTGCCCTGGCCCAGCCCCAGCCGTGCCCTGGCTCCTGTCCCTGGCCCAGAGCAGAGATGGGAGCTCTGCCCTCAGCTCCTCCTCTCCAGGATTCCTCTCAGCTTTGCTGCTCCTGCTGGGTCACTGCAGCAGCTCCAGAGGACAATGAGGTGCTCCAAAGTCCTCACCTGGATGCCAAGTGGTCAAAGGAGCCTGGATCTGTCTCTATGGAATAACCCCAATCCTAACAAAGTGCAGGATGAGCTTTTCAATCTTTGACCAGTAACAGGGACAGCTGCCAAAATTTAGCAAACTGATTTTTCCCTAAAATATTTTTATGTTCACAGCTAATGCCAGAGCCCTTTTCTGTGCTGCCTGGGCCAAGTGTGCAGCAAAGTCTCCAAATTTATCCTGAGTGCTCCCACACATCTGGAAGGGATCCAGCACCATGGAGGATTCCCTTCTTGGCTTGCTCTGAGCTTACACATTGTCTTTTTCTCTGCTGCACACCAGCAGAAAAGTCCCCCCAGGACCCTCCATGAACATGCATGGAGTTTCTGTGCAACCTGGAAATAAAAATTCACCCTGATTTCTTTCTTAACAGCAACTGTGCAACAGGAAACATGGATGTTCACAGATCCAAGAGCTGGTGTTAGGTGGCTGAGCAAGGATTTTTGAGAAGTCTTTGGTCTCATTTGTGTCATCAACTATAGCCAAAATAATTAAGAATAGAAATATAGATATATTTTTGATTGCATTTTCCTTTATGGATTCGCTTTTGTTTAATTGGTGATTTTCAAAGATAAATTTCAATATTTCCAAAGGCATTTTTGGAATAAATTTGCACTTTGGCACTGAATTCCCAGTGGGATCTGGTTCCTGGTACTTTTCAGCTCTGGTCATAATATGATTTATTCATTTTACTTGGGGTTTTGGGTTTGCATCCAGT